TAAACGAATTCCAGCAGGAATTCTTTGGGCCAGGTGCGTTTTAGGTCAGACAGTTCACCATGCAGCCACACTGCCAGCATGCAACAGCAAATAAGCCTCTGTGGATGGTGATGGTGGTTGATGCCACTTCAAAGCACAAGTAAAATTCCAGTTTGGGGATGTTTAACCTGTACGGGCAGCAGAGCCTCTTGGGAGAAGTCAGAAACCTAAACTAGAACTAATCACCAAGTTTAAACCCTCATCAGAGGACCAAGTCTGCTCTTTCAGAGCACAAGGGGCACTAAAACTAACATTAGATATTAAGAAAAAAACTCTTTACTGTGTGGGGGTGAGGCCCTGGCACAGGTTGCCCAGAGAACGTGTGGCTGCCCCTTCCCTGGAAGTGTTCAAGGCCAGTTTAGTGGTTGCTTGGAGCAACCTTGGATAGTGGAAGGCGTCCCTGTTTGATGGAGGGGGCTGGAACCAGATGATCTTTAAAGTCCCTTCCAACCCAAACCATTCTGGGATTCCATGTTTCTACAAGGAGGACATTTCTACACAGTTATTACTCTACTTAACACAAGCACAAGCATAAGATACCCTGCCTGATAAACTGCCTAAGACAGAACTCTGACTTGGTGAAACAGGAGTTCAAGACACACAGACATGAATATCTGAGTGGTTTGGGGCAACTAATTTCTGCAGACTGGTAAAGAGTGGCACAAAGTGGTGGAGGGGCACACAAAGACCGGCTGTTTTCTCAGATGCCCTAACACTTGCTGCCCAAGAACAACATATAAGAACTCAGCATAACTGCTGTTTGTTTGCCCCTCTGTTTAATGCTGAGCTTGTAAGGATGGGGGGTAACTCACTGTCAAGTACACATTGTTCTCGTAGGTCAGCTCCTCGAGCAGAGGGAACTGTTTCAGAGCAGTTACATCTTCCAGCTGGTTGTTGTTACAGTTCAGGACACGCAGATCAGGCAGGGTTAGGCTGTTGGGAAATTTGTCCAGTAAATTATCAGAGAGATCTAGTTTCTGCAGGTGCCTCAGCCGGGAAAACAACCGCGGGTCTAAGTCTCCAGTCTTCAACTGCAGCTTGGACAGGCTGGAAAAAATAAAGATAATATGAACTATCTGCAGCTCACTGGAAAAACAAGGGCTGATTTCACAGGATACAAGGTCCCTGCTTTTTCCTGTCTGCTGCATTCTGGACTCTGAGCACACACATGTGGGAAAGATGTTGTGTCTGAGCTAAAAAGACACCATCAGAAGCTCAGGCATGCCAGAGTATCTGCAGCACAATTAACCTGCAATTCAGATGATCCCCTATGGCTGGGAGCAGTGAATCACCAGGAAAATTCTTATTTTGTAGAAGAAACCTCTTAGAGTTTTGGTATTTTATTCCTTTGCAATGGTGATTCAACAAAACAAGGTGCAGCAATACATGACACTTATTCACTACACCATCAGCCTACCCCGTCTATAGATTTATTATTTCACACTTTAGGCAAGTGCAGAGCAGGCCCCCAAATAATCCGCTTTCAAAGAACTAAAATGACAAAAAAAGTGATTTTCCCATTTCTTCTGTAGTGAATTTTGCTGCAAAAAATTCCAAAGGCAAATAAGAGAATCTACCTAACAAGACCACCAAGGCTGCCACCAAAACAGAAGCATTGTGCTGAAGAAGGAAGAGGTACAATATTTGCGAGGGAAAAAGAAATATCCCTTTTCTGTAAGAAACTGAAAATTGGATGTTATAAGCAGGGTCATTTATATTTGGTTAGATCATTTAGGTGAGCTCCAAAGGGAGCTTCTAGTCCTGGCAGCCAACATCTCCTGAGGGCACAAGCCTGAGTTCCTTTAACAAACAGAAATCCTGTCTCTAATGATCAGTAAAAAAAAGGCTTCTTGATATAAATGAAGTGTGAATAAATGAGGCAAATAAATCCAGGAAGCAAAGTCCCTTCTCCTTCACTCGCCATCTCAGAGGCCTTACCAGCCAGTCAGAAAGGCTGAGAATTCAGCTGGCTGCAAAGCTGAGTCTGACTGTGGTGTCATTCTGGGGAGAAATCCAACACTGTTCCCCAAACTTTCTGACTTATAATCCGTCAGCACCACATTCCAGAAATCCACTGCTTCAAGCACCTCCCCATCACTCTGTTACCCAGATTACTGCAGCTGATATTCCTCAGATAAACCTCTGAGTTTCTCTCTAAAAATAATTATTTTAGCACAAGACAAACCAAAAGAAATAACTTTAAAGAGTACATGTGAAACTCAACCCCTTTACATCAGGATCAAAAACAACAAAGGCACCAGCCAGGAACTGGTCAGCTGAGTCACTCAGATTGACCAGCTCTGGAACAGTGAAATTCCACTACATTAAACATTTGGAAAGACGCATATTTGCAATGACCTCTGTAAAGGATCTGAGCAACAAAACTGTTTTTAGTGGTTTCTAAGTGTTTCAGAGTTTATTCTCTCTCTCTGCAATGTTTGAAGTACCAACATAATTGGATTTAGAGGAGACAGAAAGCGATAGAGGGAGAGGAAAATGAAAGGGAAATAAAGCCAAAAATACTTAAAAAACCCTCCATAATCCAGGTCAGAAAATTCTCTTGTTCACATTGCTAACAAAGATGGCAGTGTTTTGGGGGTAGGGATGGTATCTGGGGTTAGGAAATCAGGATTCAGTTTCACAGAAAGAAGGTGGCAACATACGATAGAAAAGGCAAAAAAAGGTGACAACTGTCAATAGCCTCTCTAGTGGATACAGTGCCACCAGTGCTCTGTGATCCTGCACTGGGAATGCCATCTCAGTTCTGTGCTTTGGAACTGCCTCTCTTTTTTTTTTGGTAAAAATGCTTAGGAGAAAAAAAGGCCAAAAAAAAAAAAAAAATAAAAAGCACTGCCCAAGCTGAATTCAGCTGGAATTTTCCATGGGCCTGCCTGCACTTACTTCAGCGTCTCGATCTTCCGGAGCCTTGTAGATCTTGGAACTGCTCTTTCCAAAAGAAGTTCTGTAGTGATTTTTGACATTTTTAACCTCCACCCCTCTCCTGGAATCACTAATCAGTCAGCTGTAGGATCTCTTCTTGTAACCTTCCAGGAAAAACAAACAGGAATAAGAGGAAATGCTTTCAAGTGACTCCAAAAGGGGGGGAAAAAACCACTATGAGGTTACATGCTGATTTTGCTGCTGTGTTGGAAGTCACCTTTTTTACTTGGTTGAAATAAAAATAGCAGAGACTTATTAGGCTGGGCACAGGCTCCCAACCTGCTGACCCAATCCATCTCCAAAACAACAGGGATACCTCCTGTGGCTGTTAGAGCGACAGACTTGCTGCAAGGGATGGCCCTCAGGACCTTGACAGCCTCACAGTTACCTGTTTGTGCCTCTCCTGGGCTCTGCTCCAGGAATTCCAACAGGCTTTCAAACAAACAGCAACAGAAAGAATAAATACACCTGCTGTGAACCCCTTCCTCCCAAGAAAATGACAGTGCACTCACTGGGCTGACCAGCTGGACAGACTGTTGGCTTACAACTCCGAAATCCCCTAAAATTTTGGAAAACTGAAGTAATTAGCAGAAATGTAAAATACCCACCAACTAATAACATTAGTTCTTCAGCAAGGAAGAAAAATATCAACAGCATTCTGTGTGTTGTTGGTAATTACCAGATGTTTCCATGCATTGCTACGGATGGGACAGGACATGCACACACAGTGATTTGCTGATATTTAGAATAACAACACTGACAAGTCCAAAGGAGCTTCATGAAATTACTGGTTCAGGGCTTACCACTCTTCCTGACACAGATTCCAAGGCACAGAAATAAAAGCTAACAAAGCTCCAAGGCCAGGCTCGCTCCTGTCTTTCTGTGTTAGATCAGCGCTGCCTAAATGCCATTCCAGCACATCCTGGGGAACACAGGGGGCACTGAGCTGTCCTTGGGCTTCATTTCAGCACCACCACGCACCTACAGCACCTGGAATGTTGTGTGATGGGCAACAAGACACTGCTTTGTTAACACCTGTACATAAGGACAGTCCTACAGATATGGAATACTTTATATCAGCACAAAAAGGCTGAAGGGAAAACCAGTTTTAAACAGCAGATGTTTGGGATTTGATCCTTCAAGTGACAGAGCTGTCGCCGAGAGCCAAACCACAGGGTGAGGCTGAACCTACCAGACCTCCCTAAGCGCTAAGGTAAATGTGACACCAGTGGCTGTGGATGTCTCCAACGCCCTCTCTGCGACCACACCAAAACCTCAGACACAGCTGTGACACCGCTGAGCCGCAGGGAAGGCCGGGAATGGCATGTCCCCATCCCCTCAGCACCACGAGGGATGCTGCGGAGGGGACGCTCGGCCATCCCGCGGGCTGATGGGGAACTGCCCCTCAGCAGCGCTGGGGCCGGAGCCGCACGGCGGGGCATCCCCCTGAGCTGCGTGTGCTCGGCTGTGCATGCCCTGCCCGGCCCCGGGCGGGCCCGGCGCGGTCCCCCGGGCGCGATGCGGGCGATGCCCGAGGGGCGGCGGGGCCGCGGACGCCGGGCTGTTCGCCCACCTTGGGGCGGCCTCCCAGCCGCGGGGCACTGTCTGCGGGCGCAGGCCGCGGCTCCGCCCGCGGGCAGGGCCGGACCGGGCCGTTGCGGCTCCAGCCCCGGACCAGCGCCCGTCCCCGCGGCCTGCGGTCACCAAGGGCCGCCCGGGGGCCGGCGCCGGCCGCGGCCTGAGGCGCCCCCGCGGGGCGTGCGCTGCGCGCCGCGACTACAACTCCCAGCGTCCCTCGCGGCGCGCCCGGGACCCGCGCCACTGCTCAGGGTCGCGTGGGCTGCTGGGAGCGCGAGTCCGCCCCGCGCCCCCCCCTCCTCCCCACCACCCACCACATCCATCCCGGCCGCGCGGCCTTCGCCCAGCCCCCGCTGCCCTCACCTGGAGGCGGCCGGGCGGGAGGAAGAGGAGCCGGGGGAGGGAGGGAGGGAGGAAGGAAGGAAGGGCGGGAGGAAGAGGAGGAGGAGCGGGGCCGTGCGCTCGGCGCGGGCGGCGGGATGCGGGCGGCGGGCGGAGGGCCGGGCTGCGGCTGCAAGGGGATCCGCTCCTGCCTGCTCTGCGAGGGGCCCGCGCCGGCCGCTCCGCCCCCGCAGGTACCGGGGAGAGGGCGGGCGGCGGGGCGGGGCGGCGGGAGGAGCCGGGGGGCGGCGGGGGGCGCGGGCCGGGGCCCCTCGGGGCGGGGGGGAAGGGGAAGGGGGGCGGGACCGCGACCCCCCTGCCCGGGGAGGGGCCGCGTCCCCGGGGCTGCAGGGCTGGTGGGGACAAGGCACAGCCCCCTCCCACGGGCACTGTGGATTCTTCACCCTCGTAACGCCCCGGATGCGCTCGGGAGCAGAGAGGGAGCTCACCTGAGCTCCGCACATCACACTCGTTTCCTACAGCTTAGCCCTGTGGCCCGGGTGATTTTTATCAACTTTCCTCATTCAACATTTATTGCTTATGACAAACCATATCTCTGCAGCCAGCCTGAGCGATACCCACCATTAGTGTCCTCGCACCTGTGGCCCCGAGGATCATCGGTCCTTCCCCTGTCTTTGCAGAATAAAGACATCACTAGGAAGGAAAAGTGACTTCAAGCAAGCACCTTGTGGAGGGGAAAAAAAAAAAAAAAAAGGCGGGGAATAGCTGTTCCCCAAAAGCAGCTGTAAAATTTCTGCTGTTGGCAAGAATCCTGTACGGTTTTCATGCTGCAATATCAAGTGGTAAAAAAAATGGAAATGCCTTTATTGCTTTTTTCCTTCTCCGTTGTTATTTCTCCAGGGAGAAGATAATTTCACTTACTGTCCAGCAACAGGCCTAGCTAAAGGAAATGAGCACTCGGAATTTGCTGGCTGGGCATTCCCCTTTCCAGGGGTGTTCCTGGTGGAGGAGTTCATTAGTGAAGATGAAGAGTATGAGATAGTGGAACTGATGGATCGAGATGACTGGAAACCGTCACAGTCTGGCCGAAAGAAGCAGGTTGGACTTTAGAAGCACATTTGATCTTGGATGCCTCTGGAAAAGGAAAGCTGTTTTCAGTTAAAACCCCAAATATTTAGGTGTTTCATTAAATGTCTTCCTTTGAAAGCCTTTCCTGAAATCAGTGCCAAGAATTACCTGTTGTTAAAATCAACTTCTTGCAAAAAACACACGATAGTCACAACAAACAGTATTTGATGGTGCATGTCCAGGCATTAAAGTTTACACAATCTCCAAAGGAAAGAAGTGGGTGTGTGGGTTTGGTTTTACTTTACAAATCTAACTCCAAATAGATCAATGTAGATTCCCCAAGTCCTTTTGGAACCCGGTGACCAGGAAGAGTTGACAACAGAATCCTGTAGGGACCACAGCCTCTCCAAAAAGCCTTGTCCTGGATTCTTCCTTTACACCCCCCTTCTTCTTTTCCAACAGGACTACGGACCCAAAGTGAACTTCAAGAAGCAGAGGCTAAAAGCTGGTGGCTTTACCGGTTTGCCAAGTTTCAGCAGGAAGATCGTGGCACAAATGGAGGCCTGCTCTGTGCTCAGTGGTTTCTTACCTGTTGAACAGTGTAACCTGGATTACACACCAGAGAGGGGTTCTGCCATAGACCCCCACTTTGATGACTGGTGGCTGTGGGGGGAGCGTCTGGTCAGCTTAAACTTGCTCTCCAAAACTGTGCTCTCCATGTCCTGTGACTCAGAGGACACCATCCAATTATCCCCCGCTTTCAGCAAAGGGGAATTATGCCCCCCCGGGTCTCTCGCACAAACATCAGCGCGCAGAAATTCGGGCGAGGAGGGAACCGAGGCCGTTCTGCCCTCGAGGCTGGTTCCCAGTAAGGAGGTGACTGTTGCCGTTCACTTGCCCCGGAGGGCGCTGGTGGTGCTGCAGGGGGACGCGCGGTACAAGTGGAAGCACGGGATCCACCGCAAGCACATCGAGCACCGCCGGGTCTGCGTCACCTTCAGGGAGCTCTCTGCAGACTTCAGCGCCGGGGGAAGGCACGAGGAGCTGGGCAAGGAACTGCTGGAAATAGCTCTTTCGTTCCAAGGGAGGCCGGTGTGATCAAAGGGAAGCCTGAGTCGCATTTTGTTAGGAAATTTGTAAAACGAGGTACGGAATTTGTGCGACTCGGTTTATTTTTGTGTGTGTGAGGAATCAGGTGTGTGCAGAGAAAAAAGCTCAATAAAGTGGAAATCTGACAAACAGAAATAAGGGAGTGCAAGGAAGGGGTGGGCTTCAAAGGCTCTGCTGGGCAATGGGAGCTTTTAGGCCAAGGTCAGAAATGAGCTGTTGTATCCACTTAAGTGTTTAGAAGAAAGTCAGAATCATTAAACTCAGCTGAAAATCAGACAGCCCTTGACACAGTTTTAGCCCAAGCCCTGTCATGTATTTTAACCTTTCCTGGCCCACACTGGATGCTGTCAGACGGTTTTGAGTCTGACACAACTATCTGGGGGCACAACTATCTCCTCACCCTCCTCAGAACCTTCAGAGACCAGCTCTCAGGGGAGAAGGGTAAGCAAATATCTCTCCACAGCTACTACAACACACTGATAACTAATTAAAATAATTATCCTTTGCTGAAGATTCAGGCTCTTAACAATGAGGATTTAATCATAAATTCTGTGCATGACCTGTATCTTCTGGGACCAAAGAGTAGCATTTGCAGAGGGCTGATGCCACTCTTCAAGCTTGGACAGGGATCAGACCAAAGGCCTGCACAGGCTGTGTTATTTTCTGATCATTTGTCATCTCTGAACCCTGCTGTCAGCTCTCAGTAGCAAGAGTCTGATTTTGGGAATAAGCTGGGCAACAGACTGCAACACTGGCAGCTATCATTTATTTTCCTGGCACCTCCAGCAGTCAGGTTTGAATCATGCCTTGTACCTAAGATTCAAGTAGTCATTTGCAGCAGAAGCTGATTTGAGGCCATCTGTCTGCTCTGAACAAACTTCTGTGCTCTTGAAAATGAAGCTGTGCCATGGAAGAAGTGTGATCCTTTAATAAACACAGTTGTGCCATGAGAACCATTCAGCACAGTCACACCTGCTGCAGTAAAACACCACGTTACAACGCTGCCTGGCTTTGGTTGGTAAGGAAAGGGGACAGACATATTTATAAATGGGATCTCAGCGTTCCTGCACTGCTGTGCTCTGCCCTAGAAGTACTTCCTTGGCACAATGCACAGGATTTACTGTACAGTAATCCACAAGTGCCACAGGCACTGCCCTCTGCTTTAGGGACTGCAGGGGAGGGAGCTGTTTACCCGAAACACTTACTAGAAATCAGTTGGGTCAATAAGGATATTTCTTAGGAGTTTAAGCCAACAGATACAGTTACAGCCCTTTGTGCAGTGAACCAGGTTCAGTTTAGCCCTGTATTTAAACAGCTGTGGACACTGGCTATGTGTTAATTCCTGCAGGGACCCACAAGCAGCGCTGCCATGGGCAGTCCCAAACCCCAAACCTCCATCCAGGCGGGCTGGGGAGTGTCACCGAGGTGCTCCAGGAGTGATTCTAGCAGTCACAGCACAGCCTCTCTGATGGACTGATGGACACCTGTCACTGTAAACACAAACAGGCACAGACAGCTCTATCCCAGGAAATTCCTCATAGGCTGCAACTGGAAGAGAGTAGATCTACATTAGGTATTAGGAAGAACTTATTTCCTGTGAGGGTGGTGAAGCACTGGCACAGAGAAGCTGTGGCTGCCCCTTCCCTGGAGGTGTCCAAGTCCAGCTTGGACAGGGCTTGGAGCAACCTGGCATAGTGGAAGGTTCCCTGCCCATGGCAGGGGGGTGGGACTGGATGAACTTAAGGGTCCTTTCCAACCCAAACCATTCTGTGATTCTCCAGCTCACTCCCAAAAGCAGGGGGTGCTCTCAAAACAGCAGTTCCTCACCTTTTTCCGCAGCCTGGTGTGATCAGCACTGTGTGGCTGGAATTCACAGTGCTTTTGGGAGCATTATGTTCCCAGGACAGCACCTGGAGCTGCTTTTGGAGCCGAGGAGCTTTGTCCAAGCAGGAAGAGGAGGCTCTCAGCCTGGGGGAGCCCAGCACAGACACAGAGGAAACTCAGAGCAGGTTCTCACAGAGCAGTCACTGCGCCTGTATCCTCATCACCCTTCCAGTTCCGAGCCTCTCCATCGATCCACTCCAACTGCAGCAATCAAGTATTGCCATTAATGCTTGGCCCTGACTTCCAACACTCCCTTTTAGATTTATATTGTGCTCTCAGCCTGCTAAAACACTCTCCTTGCGTGTACCTGCTGTTCCATCCTCTCTGCACTGGAAGCAGATGATGGCTCCTGGTGAATCAGATTGCCACAATAACATACACAGTTCATTTTCTGCTCTGCATTTGTTAGCTGAATTTTTCTGCCTCAATCAAACTATGCAGGAAGCTGCTGCTCTTGCCAGAAAATTCCAGCTCTTCCTAGTTGGCATCTTAAATGTGAAAAAATGCAAATAAATTAAATACTGAGCCAAAACCTGAGGGATTTGTCTTGATGGTTTTGAAGTCCAAAACCTAATCTAGTCACTACACAGTAATTGCTCGGCCAGTCTTTTGACATTTTAAACAGCCTCTCGGGCATCATCCTTAGATCAAAATGCAATTACACCCATCTGTTCAGAATTACTTTTTGAAACTTTATGTACATTCTCTCCTAAAAAGCCAGAAAACAAAACAAACAAACAAAAAAAAGCCAGAAACCCCTGTTTTGCAGAGTTACAAAGCATTAACAAATTGACTGTCAAGTACCATAGAAATCTAAGAAAAGTACAAAGAGGTTTTAATCTTAATTAATGAGCTCTTAAAAGTAATTTTGTCCACTAAACTGGTATTATTCACATAAGACAAATTTTAATGGTCTTCCTGTTATAGAAGTTCCTGTCACAGCTGTTCATCTCCTTAAGCTCCCTGTAAAGCCTGTGCCAAGACCCAGACCCTCATTAAAAGGAAGCATATCTAATTGTTATCTACTTGTGTATGTTAAAAGGAGAAGGATAAAATCTGAGCAAGATTTAAAAAAAAAAAAAAAGGCAGAACCCAAGTTAACCCATAGAGGATGCTGGAGGACTTGAGCTGCCTTTCAAAAAATCAGTCTGAAATCAGTAAGAAACAGCACAAAACTGAGCAAGTTTATCCAGTTTCTCTCACACAGCTGGAGCATAACTGACATACATTCATCGCTCTACATTAAATATTGTTCATGCAGAGATAAAACAAGAATAGGCAAAGCTAAAATACAGATTTTTTTTTTTTTTTTTGTCTTAGCACTCATCACTGTCACAACCCTGGGCAGAAGGCAAGCTCCCAGCTGGACATGCAGGGATTCAGGGGAATGCTCTCCAAACCCAGACAGTCAATTCAAATTACTAAAACTGCTCTGAGACGGGTGCAGAGAAAAAGAGCCTGAGAGTTAATCAGAAAATACCCCCCTGGCCCAGCCGCGCTGGGAGCCAAATTTGAGATTGCAGCCTGGAGGGGGTGCTGAGGCAGCTATCTTAAAAGTAGATGCAATGAGATTTAGAAGATTAAGAAGCTACAGCAGCCGGGAAAATCCAAAAAGCCTTTTGTTGTTTGTTTGAAGGCAGGGACAGAGGAGAATCAGCACGTCATGAAAGGCGGAAGGAGCACCTCCACCCTGGAGACCAGCGCAGGTGTCCTCCAGGCAAGCTGGGCTTGCCCATCCCCACATCCCAGAGCCAGGGAAAAGGAAGGATGTTCTCTCTGCAGCTGAATCCACCCCGGAGCTCTCTATAAACACTCCCACATATCTGAGCGCTTACGGCAGCGCTCGCCCCACCCGGGGCTCTCGCACAGGATCGCTTTCATCCGTCACGTGGAAACCCAACACTGCTCCATCTCTCCTGGTCATAAAGTCCCTCTCAGAGTCACATACCCACTGAAACAACGGGAGCCGGGCCTGCCCTGGGGTGATGTTAAAAATAGGGAGCTCACAGAGTGAGAGCTGCCACTAAACACAGCGAAGGGAGAATCTGACACTGCTCTGGCTCCCACAGCTCCCTCCGGCTCCCAGTCCTGCACTGCCTTTGCTCCTGCTAACGAGGGAAGGAGAGAGAGGAGTCGCCCTCTAAAACAAGGCAGGTGCCTGGGAATGATACAAATTAGGGCTGTACGCTTGTCTTTGACAGCTCCTTCCCTGCTGTAGGAGAGGCAGGCAAGGTCCCTGCAGTGCTGCAGTCTGCAGAGGCATTTTTCTGCTGGGCAAAAGCTGTCAAAAAAAAATCTGGAGGAAGACTCAGGACTCTGGAGTGAGATCATGGCGGTCCCTGTGTTAAGCCCCAGAGCAAAAACTGGAGAAATGGCCCAAATAAGGTAATAACTGGTCCAGCAAGTCACAGCCCAAGGGGGCTGAGAATCAGGACAACAGCCACCCCAGGGTGCAGCAGCCCAGGGCCCAAGGCTGGTACAGAAAACCAACACACACGTCAGGGAGATCCTTATCACATGTCCCCAGCCGAGGGTGGAACCCTTGGGAGAAGCATCTCTGGGCAGGAATTGCAGGAACGGAGCCACACAAAACCTGGGACACTCCAGGAATGACAAACAGACACCCCAGGAAGGACAGAGAGGTGACAGCAAGGGACAGGCAAATCCAGACATGACACAGCCCTGCTGGGACAGCAGTGACAGTGTGGAAAGGCTGGAATCTTCATGCTCGACTGATGGGAATCCTGCTGACAGCCATGGGCAGCAGCAGGAGCAAGGGTTTTCTGGTGCTGCAGCACAGAAACACCCACCTGGACAACTACAACATCCCTACTCCTTCCTTTATGGATGAACTGCTGTGGCTGGTACCACAGGTAACCTATCTGCAACACAAGTCTGGACGCAACAGAGGTGAAAACGTAAACAAGTTGAAGGAAGAGACGGAGGAGCAAGAAAAGCAAATGCTGTTGTTGGGAAAGGAGAGGAGTTACAGCACGAAGGTGATCCCAGAGAGATCCCAGGTGCCACAGTCAATGAGCAAAAATACTCTCAAGGGCTTCTCACAGAAGGGAGAACTCGGTGCCCAGAGAGACACAAGACACAGAGCTGCAAGCAAAGATGGGAAAGCACGTCATTATTCTGTTTTAAGTACATTTGCCCCCGGGACACCATCCGAAACCATACCTCAGACTCCCCCTGGAGTAAAGGCGATCCCACTCCAGTCACAGATGCTCTGCCTTGAGACTGATCTTGAATCCAATCCCACCAAAGCCTCAACGAGTTATTCTACAAAAATCAAAGCACAGTTTCTGCTGCATTTCTCCATTTGCTGAAGTTCATTATACTTGCAAAAAATTAAATTAACAAATTGGCTGTTTCCAAACAAGCTGCGTTGCTTTCACAGCCCTGTCTGCACATGGGGAAACTTTTTCTTTGAAATTACAAAAATGGCTCAATGCTTTCCTCGACAACTTCCCGAGCTCCTCAGTACCCGAGGGTATTATTACTGATGCTAAAGGAGAGTGCAAAGTACAGATGAGAGACTCATCCCATCTGGTCTGGCTCTGGCCTCACAACAGAAATTCTCCTGGTGGAAGAGCCCACACGTGTAATACTTGGCAGAAAACTCAACTCTGATTTTGTTGTATAAACCTTTAATTTTTATTACGGTAAAAAGAGGAAGGGGAGAGAGGGCGGATTCCTGGGGAGTTTGTATGAATTTCAGGACCACCCACTTCCTGGGGGACAATCCTTAATTTTTTTGCATATGCACATGAGTACAGATTAGTCATTTAGCACACAAAGCTTATTTTTCTTTGCTGCACATCAGCCAATATGGTACATGCCAACTGCAGCAAGAACAGCAGATGAAAGCCACAGACACAGTGCTAAGCAACTTGTTCAGCAACGCTCACATTCGCATGTAAACAAGAGAGATGAGAGTTGGTTTCCCAAGGCCCTCGCCAGAGAGGAATACTGGGATAGTCTCACCCTGCTGCCCTGGGGTTTGCATGTACTCTCCATTCTGGGAAGCTGACATGTAATAATACACTGCCATTAGATTTCTCAAATCCCAGTGGAATAAGGGACCAGGGTTAAATAGAACATTACAAAAATCCTTAATGATTTCAGAAACCTGTAAGGCCTCGGAGACTCTGAAACTGCAGTTTTTGAGTGCAGAGGAGGAAATCAGCACAGGATCAGGGCCAAGAAAATGTGCTTATGCTTCTTGCAGCCCTGTGTGGCAGAAAGCCTTATTTTCCCTTCAAAGAGCTCACAACTGCAAAACACTCTTTTCCCTCCACGAAGTTACTAAATATCGTAACATTGGGGTTTTTTTACGGAAGTTTTTCACCCACAAGGATGCTACAGAATTTACAAGCTTCCCTTGCTAAGCCACACACACATGCAAGCGTCGTTGTCTCAGCTGCTGGAAAAAGAAATGAGCTCAAGGGAAATGGATAGCTCTTTAATGGCACACAGCATTCCCGCCGGATCCAGCTCCATCAGGCTCGCCAGCACAGCTCCAGGTTCCACCAGAGGAGCTGCCTGCTTTGGTGGAGGGAGAAGGAAGCATTCATTTCTGACAGAAAAATGCTACAGCCGATTAAAAAAAGCCAAGTGATGGAATACACAGGACTGGGCTTGTTCTCTCCAGCAAAACAGGCAAGAGGCATCGCAGCAACACATGAATGAAGAAGACGCAGCAACAGATTCGCACAATATTTGCTGTCACTCCTTACCTCCTTGAAACTCGCCTTGCTAGTCCTTCAAAGTTTTGTCTCATTAAATTCCCCGTCACTGTTCTGTTTTAAGAATGTCCTTGTTAGAACTAAAACACCTGTAAGCCTTCCCTGGGCACTCTTGCCTCTTCTTGGGAAAAAACACATGATCTTGGCACTCATTCGATCTAAAGTGACGGATGCTGCTGAAAAAAAAAGTACGAGAGAACTTCCCAGCTTCCTGCAACTCAAAATTCTACATCCCCATCTGTAAAAATATAGTAAAGAATAGCAAGAAAAGAACAAAAAAGCTAAGGCTGATTTCTTTCTGGTTATGTATTTATGGAATACTTGCTTTGGAACAATGGTGATCAACACTCTCGGTTTCTGTTGTGCTTTCCTGGATGTCCTTGAGTCAGCTGCAGGTACCCACATTAACCAGCTCTGCTCTAGAAATGAGCTGCCAGTTAATTGTGGCTGCACTGACAGCCAGGGAGTTCTGACATGTAAGACAGGTCCTACACACACGCACACACTGGCTTTTTGGAAGCTGACGCAGTTTTACTTTTGGCAACAGAATATTGCATTCATAAAAAAAACACAGATTTTTGGCTACCTGAACCCACGTTAAGGTAAAGTTTTGACCTTGAACTCCACGGCAGTGTCAACTCAAGTACCGAGTGTGCAGGACCAGAATCAGGCCAGAGACCCCAGCATGTGAAACAGCACAAGAACCCACAGCTAGAAATGGCAGGCAATTAGCATTTACATATTGAAGCCTCAAGACAATCCACCACTGGTGCGTCCCACCAAGTAGCAAACCGGGTGTGCTGCCCTCAGCCCCAGCTGAGGGGGTGTTCAGGCTCTGTCACACCACCTGCATGCCTCTGTCATGCCCGTCTAACTGCACTTTGAGTTTGTGGAGCTCCTCAATCTCCCGGTTGTGCCGCTCCGTTTTGTGCCGCACCAAGGAGCGGTAGAAGTGAATGGTGAAGACGACAAAAATCAGACCCACGGGGACCATGATGATGGTGGAGACCAGTGCTGACTGCCACCCCGCGTGGCTGCTGGGCTTCTCCACGTTGGTGGTCTCGTTCTTCAGGATGGAGCCCACAGGCAGGAATTTTATCCAGCACAGCAGCACGACCTCCGCGAGGAAAAGGAGGATTCCCAGGACGGTGGAGAAGCCCCAGGCCAGCTCGATGTAGGGGTGCATGCGCTCGTGGGGGGACTCGCTGATGGAGTTCAGGTTGTGGATGTTGCTCACTGCCTCCACGTTGGGCAGAATGCAGGTGCTGATGAGGAGGGCAAAGAGATGAACTGCCACGAGCACTGTCGTGCAGGCACTGAAGGCGATCAGCAGCATCTGGGGGTACTTGTACTGCACCTCCAGCTGCACCTCCACCATGGCAACCTGGAACCAAGGAACAGAGAGCTCGTCAACAGCTGCCGGCTTTCCCTCCTTTCAAGGCTTCCATCCAGGAAAGCATCTTTATCCAGGAAGAACACCTAAGGTCAAGTACACGCTCAAGCGCTCTCTGGGACGGCAGCCGGGATGGATCACTGCTGTTCCTCACACAGCCTGTGCCTCGGCCTCTGTGAGGCTCGGGAACACGTTCCTGCGCCGTTGGTTTCTAACATAACACGTCTCTCCCTGCAGCCACGGGCCACACGAGCTGCATCAATCCCGAGGCGCAGCAGAAGGGACTCATTAGACGGCACGTGGGGTGGGGAGGCGGCTGACAGCCTGTGAGCCCCCCCGCCCCTCACACCTTCTCCTTCCTCCCCTCACTCCCGGCTGCAGCGCAGGAAGTTTCGACTCCGGGCGTGTAAAGAAAAGCAAAACCCAAGCAGCTCCTCTGGCCAGTGGCCAGCGAGGTTTCACTGCCTCCCCATGGGAAGCACACAAGCTACTCCGCAGTTTGAGTCAGCCCCTAGTTAAAATAGCTGCCTTCTATTCTCAGAACAGTTTACGTTTGGTTTTATTACAAATATGCCCAGATACAAGTTATTTATATCCTCGAATTTCTCCCTTGAGGGTTAATAACTTACTGATACACTCAGCAGTAGTGGACAGCTACTGGCTTATGGGTGTGCTCAGCAGCTCAGAGAGGAGTCTCCTTCCCAAAACAAGAGCAGGTCTCTAAAGCTATTTTTAATTTTATCAAATAAAGCTTAAGAAGCAGAATATGTGCAAGAGAGCAGGAGGCCCTTCTGAGATCAGAACTGGAGTACTAGTACAGGCCTGTTAACTGGTTTAGCATAGGAATTGTTACAATTACTTAACCTACCTATGAAGTAAACCAGTACTTCTCTGTGGTAGCATCCCTGAAAGGACTGCACAAACCTTTTTCGCTAAGAGAAGCCACAAAAGCAGTGGACAAGACTATCAAACATTCCCCTCTAGCAGCTGGCTTGGATCTGCAGCTGCACTTCATGATTTGCAGAGACATTAACTCTCCTGGCAGCAAGCAAAACCTCTGGTGATCCCAGGGGACCTGCTGCTCTGGCATGGCACAGCCACGTGGAAAGAAGCCACACTGGGGTTCCTGACTCAGGGCAGTGCCTCTCAAGACCATCATGACAAGGCAAAGTCTGAACAAGCAGCTCAATTCTGGGACACTGAAGGATTTTGCAGAACTGACTCATGATTACTTTATCCAGACTTCACAAGAGACACCCCTTGAGCAGCCATTTCAGGCTCTGTATAATCACCTGCACCGCTCACTCTGGCATTACTTGTTAATAATATTATTTAGGCACTGGAAGATTAGGGGTCCGCCCATGTTCTCCCTGTTGGAAGCCCTAAAAAGGATTAAAGGGGATGGAAGCCAGCTGGCATGACTACTGCCTTACCTGCATTTACTCTGAAACCATCAGCAGCCTGAATGAGGGGATCACAGTCAACTCTGAACACATTTAGCAGCAACCAAGACGTAAGACGTGGCAAATGGTCTACAAGCCCAGATTTATACCTTCAGCAGCTACTTAGGATTTTAGAGACTTGAAAAATATTGTGACAATTCTTGGATATGCCTAGCATTTTGTCCTGATTATGAACATGTGGAGAGTTTACTTCGTTTGTTTGTTTGTTTTTATAGGTTCCTGTTTGCAGTTTACAGTAGTTCTTGCTGTACAGCAAAGAAAATATTAACACAGGATTGGCCTTCTATCTATTGCAAGGTTAATTTAATTAAAACACATTTCACATGGCCTTGTGCATGTTCTCTTTGCAGTTCTCCTTATATTGATTCGAGAGGGAGCGGATCAGACCTATTCTCCAAGTACAATGAATTTGTACAGCGCTGTGGTTGCCAGTCACACCCCATCAGCCAGGAAAAGCTGCAGGTATATTGTTCATTAGTGGGTGCTGTAATAGCCAGAGACGTGGTATTCAGCCAGCTGAATGGGAATTGTACCTGCATGTTCAGTTTATAGCTTTATATTAAAGCTGAAAGCCTGGCTCATGTCAACATATCAATTTCTGCTTGTTATCCTCCACATGAGCAGTGCTTTTCAGCTAATTGGATGTTTCCTCCCAGACTAACCTACTCCCTAGGGCTGGCTTCAGCTGTGCAATGTGATGAATTTTTAACACTGACTGATGGCTCAGTAAGAGGTATTTCAAGGGAAAACATCAACAATCCAGATAGGGCAGCAAGGCAGAAAACCAGTTCATTTAACCCAAACAAGTGCTGAGAAGGTGAGTGAGCCCTGATTGCTTTACCCTGCACAGACTGTCATGTCATTCCCTGACCGAGATAAGAGAAAGAGGACAAGCTGACATAACCCACTTAAAAATCATTAAATATGCTGCCTAGCCTGTAAAACTATTAATATGTCATGTTTGATACAATTATACTCTTCCCTGCAACAGCCCCCTTTATTTTAAGCTCATCTCAGAAGCCACTTTGCAAGGCTGAGCACTGTGCCAAGCCATGGAATATTTCAGCACAGGCTTAATTTTAAGCTTGAGAATCACCCCACTGAACTCCAGGCTTACAGGACCGAGTGCTCAGAACATTTTAGAATTAAACTGCAATTAAACTACATGAAATGATGGTGGGGTTTAGACCAGTATAGCCCCGATTATCCACAACAAAAATTATACTCATCTTGAAAAATTCAGACCAGGACAGATAATAACAGGCAAAAGGATGACAAATGGCTTAACATAAACCATGACACATTCACACAGATGGTTTGGCAGCCTGTAAAAATCACTCCAGTAGATCTGTTAGGGTTTTTGTTTTGTCTTTTTTTTTAATCAAATACATATCCTGTAGCAACTGGACAAGTATTGAGAAGATAGATTAGCAGTAATAGCTCTTATTTCCATCAGGAAAATTATTAAGGAGGTCTCCTAAGCTCCCTCTAAATTTCCTTTATCTGCAGCCTTCTCAGGGCGAATGCAGTCATCCTACAACCCATCTCCAAGCAGACCTGGCACTAGAATGACCCACATCCTCCTGACCTGCCCAGCTCTCTGCCAGAAATACCAGAGATGGTAACGAGGAAGGTCTGCATTATTCTGCAGCCTGTCCAGAAGGAGTTGGATCAGAGCCATCGCCTGTTGATTAAATATCCATCAGCTCGCAATAATTTTCAGCCAATATGGAACTGGCTCGAATCAAACACACCGACAGGGAAGTAAATAAAGCAATAGCCAAGCCCTGAATGACATTTGTTTACATAGTTAAATGCACTCAAGGCTTCAGGGAAACTATTTCGTAGAATCACAGAATCGTTTAGCTTGGAAAAGACCGTCAAGATCACCGAGTCCAACCATTCCCCCAGCACTGCCAAGTCCACCACTAAACCATGTCCCTGAGTGCCACGTCTACACACATTTATCTCAAAATAACTTCTCTTCTTTCATCAATAGCCAAATAGGTGCTCTTAATAGAGTAAACATCCTTGTACTAAATACCTGCATGCCAAATTACCAGGGGAGAACCAACCCAATAGGAACAAATACCTCAGCTTTCACAGGAAGGTCCAATTAGCTGGGAAAAAGCTTGCTAATAAAAAGAATTCCTTACTGCAAGAGATTTTATGTCTTACTGATTTCAGGTGTAGCTCTTGTATGTTAGGCTGATGGTCATAATTAACACTGCTTAGCTCTGTGTGTTTATAGGACTTGCATTTTAAACAGTTTAAAGAGAACACAAAACCAGTGGTTAACTCTGTGTGTTTGCCAAGGACTTCCAGCAACTTTCTGCTGCGTGAGTTGAGAAGGCATGCTTTGTTTTCAGTGCCCTGCAGTGTGGGTGGGCTGCAAGCCCCTGAGTCCAGGGATGCCAGCGACAGCACAGCCCAGCACAGACACCTCGTGGGACCACGCTGGTAGACCAGCCCACACCACCACAAAATGTTAATGTAATAACCATGTTAAAGAGAATGGTCACAAATGACTAACAAGGAACTCCAGAGGCCCACAGGGCAAGCACATGAGAGGCTTTTTAGAGTGAGGAAACTGAGTGAAAGGAGTCTACAGGAGAGCACCCAGCTTTCTCAAAAGAGGGGACCTTCTGCCCTTGCAGCACACAAGTTTGGTTATAAACCAATGAAGACTTTGTGAAAAGCATCTCTTGCACACAGACAGAGAGTGGAGAGGAATCAACCCCCCCCCAAGCACCCTTTCCCCATCCAGCCTGCTCCCACTGAACGCCCCACCTGCACCTTTCCAGCTTCACTTTGGGTGACCAACTCTGTCATCCCAGACTGCTGAAATGTTACGGATGATTCATGGTCTGGGGGACTAGGGGAAGAAAAAGCAGCGGAAACAGCTAAAATAAAACAAGAAAGGCTATCTGGAAAGATCTGTCTTCTCCCCACAGCTTCTGAGCTGCAGGATGCAACATCCTCACATCGCGTCCCACGCACCAGGCACTGCCCTCTGCCCCTCTGCTGACAGACCTCAGGAACAACCAGACCTGCCCATTTCCTGAGCAGAAAACCTCCCCCAAACTGGTTTCAATTCTCACTCCCAGTAAGCAAGCAACAGAGGGGAGATGAAGGGGCTCAACACTGACACAGCAGAGCTGTGTTTTGTTAACACCACAGCCTGAACGCTGGACCAAACTGTCTCAGTCTTGTTTATTTGCTTACTCCTCACATGGTTTTGACCTATGCAAATACCTTCCAGATAACACCCAAGTGCAGCACAGTGGAAAGCAAGCACCAGGGATTACTTCTAAAAGGCAGCACTGACAAAAATATACCGGGTTTGGCTCCCTTCAGGCTACAGAGCCCTCTGACATGAGGTCTGAGCTCAGGGCCTCTTCTCACACCTCAGCGTATAACACGATCTCCCTGATCGTGCTTCGCAAACTTCTCTTTGGCAGACTGCGACCCAACCTCCACCTTATTTTAGACACCGTGACCTGAGAAAACACACACAGAAATTAAAATAATGTTCAGGACCACAGCAACCACAGGGGCCTGGGGGAACTCCACACCCACGAGCAACCTCACCCATGGGCAACCTCACCCATAAGGGCAGCAAGGGATGAACGGCCTCAGGGCCAAAGGAGAGCTCAGGTCCTGGATTGTTTAGCATTGCTGGTGGAACACTTGCAGGTAGGGGATTAGTATTTTTAAAGAGCTGGGAGCGTGTGGGTTGTCTTAGCTCATGTATCAGTGCTGCCTTGAGAGAGCCAGCCTCAAACTTCGCAGCAGCAGCCTCTTCAGGAAACAACAGTATGTCCTGCTTCTTCCCAGGAGGAAAACACCGATTAACAGATGATTTTAGAGAGCCAAAACCTTCGTGATTCAGAAAGCTATAAAACACACCTACCATGGCAAATCCAGAGAGCAGAGCAGAGGTTCTGCTGGAAGCTTTCAGTTTGGCTCGGCTCAGGTACAACTTTCTCCAGGAAAGGGCTTGAACAGAGTGGTGGTTCGAGGTGACCAATTCCAGGTAGCTGCGCCGGACCCAGTCCCGGTAATCCATGCCCTTCGTGCCAGGCTCAGAGCAGCAAGCAGGGGTGGAGGGATCCACCGGGACATTTAATTCAGAACTCATGGTGAGAGAAACGCTGAGGGAATAAAACAGTCACGTTCAGGCAGACAGGATGAGCATCAGCTAGCGGAAAAGCTACGGTGGAACAAAGTTGCCCTTGGTCGGTGGGAAATGATGGACCAAACGCCAACACACTTGCAAGGCACAGAACTGAGAAATGACGGTCCCTGATTGCCAAAAATGGCCAAAGGAACTAGGAAAGATTATACAGATAAACTCAGAAACTACTCCAGCAGGAATTCAGGAAGGCTGCACAGCATCTTTTCATTTCAGAGCTGGCACCTCGACTTTGCCCTCTAGTTCCTCCTTGCTAATAAAAGAATTGTTTTACAGATGACATTTTGGCAGTAGGGCCCCCATCTTATAATTTCGTTTTGAGCTGACAGTTCATTTCCCAGTGCATCATGGACTGGCTCCAAATGCATCTCCTTAGAGAACCAAAGTGACACCAGTTCAGGGAGTCACTTTTTGCTCCATCTTTGGAAACCAATTTTTCTCAGTTAAACCATTGCTCCTCATGGCTCATTTCACATCGGTACAGTTTTCTTTCCCAGCCTCACCCAAAAGACACACAGCTCACTGCTGTGTAGGATTAACAAATGAACTTCCCAAGCTTTTGCAGTGGGAAGTTCAATTTCCTGAACTGCTCCACACTCCATTTATCAGCCATATCTGACTGAGAATCCTGTTCCCTTAATTCTACCAGTGGCTTTGAGCACGAGGGAAGGAAAAGACAATTCCAAGGGGAAAAGCGAGCTGCTTCCAGGAAATTTCATCATCTTCAGATTCAAGAGATTACACTGAGAGATATATGAAAGGAACAAGACTATTTCAGGTGGTGAATGCAACAGAGGCAAGTGTGGGGTCCAAACCACCCTCCTGGTGATGACCAGGCTGCTGCCAAATGGCTCTGGTGATCCCTGTACCATCCACAGACACAGGGCAGGATCCATGGAATGTTTTGAACAAAAAATTCTCAACCCTGGCAAACATCTGAAACTAGATGTTTAACTCAGCCTTCCAAAGAATGGAAGCTAAGATCTTCCAGTTAATCCCCGCTCTCACAACTCCGCCATTGACACTAGAGCTGCACCTTCTGGCCATAAAATACCCATCAGCTCCTAGCAGGAGGAGATGCCTGCTCAGAATCACACCTGGTGTGGTACTAATTAGTCCCAGCACCACACCTCAAGGTCACAGGCTCCTTTCTGCTCACTCCCACACCCCCCCCAGGTCTCCACACGCAGGGGACACATGGGGACAGCTAATAAAGCCATCGCTGCTGTGAGATTTGAAGAAGTGGCAAAGATCAAAAGGACATCAACTGCCCAGAGCTCTGAATGCTGTCACTAAAAGTGAACAAAGCTGTTTCAGGCACAATAACAAAGATTACACTGCAGCAGCAAACAAAGCGTTGCAGGTCACAAGACTGTCCCTCCTGAACACAGGGGGGCTTTCAAGTTCCAGCCCCCTCAGACATCATAAGGATGGCAGCAAGAGCACAACATCATTCCAGAGCAGTTTTTGACAAAGCCACCATTACATGGAGAACTCCAGGATGGCTCCTGACCTGCCCAGGAGTTTTCAAAATATTAAAAAAAAAAAGGCATAAAATAATATTCACACAACAATAAAAACAAGAAGACAATAAGAGGGACAAACCTTCCTGCTTGCTCTGTGTTTCAAGAAAAGGCAAGAATCACCTATTTCAGAGAAGAAGAAAAAGGCCTTCTGGGAGGATCAGAGGCAGAAGCAGTCTGTGAGCAGCAAAATCATGAAGCTGTTTCCTGTGACAACATCCTGTGTGGATTTTGCAATGTATAGCATGGAGGGAATTTACAGACTTTGTCCCCAGCTGGTACAGTAATGGCCTCTAGTCTGCCATTTGTTTTGACAAAATACGCAGGAACTTTTTATGTAGGAAGCTTTGACCCCTGGGACAAATTCCACTGAAAAGACAAATGAATTCAGAGGTTGCAGAGAGAGGGCAAGAGCACCCAATCACATCTGCTTCTTTCATTAGAAAAATAAGCTAAAAATACCACAAGGATGAATTTTCACTCTGGAGCAGCTCAAGAGATGTTCTCAAATAAGTAAACAACTTTAGAATAAAAATCCATAAACACAAACGTAGCCCAAACAAGCAGTACCAGGATGGCAAACTCACCTGGCTGGCTATGGACATGGAGGAACTGGGTGGTGGGCTCCAGGGGCTGAAACACAACAAAAGCAGCATTTTTCATGCACTGTATCTGAAGCAGTTTTACTCTGGAAATACTTTTCAGACAGTTATCGGCATCCGGGCAGGGTTATTCTGAAGATTTCATGTTTCTGCCTTGCACAGTTAAAGGTTTAGCACACTTGCTCTTACAGAAATAACTGTCCTACAGGGTTTCACTGCACATGGCTGCCGAGTTTTGGATGGAGAATGAGGACTTCCCCGGGAGACCTCTTCCTCTGCCAGCTCTGGCAAAGTCCATCCCAGCTGCATCTTCACTCGCTTCTATTGCACCACCAACGCATCTTTCCCCACTTCATCTCACACTGGTTAAAGATGGAAAGCTCTCTAACATTGCTCCCTCACACTGATCTCGTTACCCTGCCCCAGGGAAAGCCTCTGCCATGCCTCACATCTCCGTGCCCCGCTGCAAGCACACGAGCTGGGATTTCTCCACAGCAGAGAACGAAGCCGATGCCAACAGGGCAAGATATGCAGATCTGTCTCAGCAGCACTGGCAGCTTCCCTGCCTGGTTTTGGGATGCTGGCCCCCTCCTCGGACCCAGATTTCTGCCCCACACCCCCAGACTGGTCAGTGAGTTTGTACCAAAGCTTTTCTTCCCTGTGTAACATTATCCAGCCCCCCGCAGGCCATGGCTAAGCCAAACCCCAGGCCCTGCTACTCCTCTTCCAAGAGCTCAGGCCTTCTTTGCTGCGGGGAACCCCTTTCTATGTCCCCTTCTGGCTCGGGGCCTCCCAGAAGCACCCCTGGGGTGTCACAGCACCCAGGCAGGGTGTGAACACCCCAGAGCTGTGACCTCCCTTAGAGCAGCAGCGGATCACCTCCCAAGAGGGATGTGATCCCTCACCCCATCACCACAGCTGGGATCCCACTCCCAGGGCACTGCCCGAGCAGGGGATTTCTCCTCCTCTTTCACAGCCACCCTCAACACACCTGGGCAGGATGTAAGGGAGGATCCCCCCTCCAACAGCACTCTCGGACAGGGGATCCCCAGGCCAGGATAAGACCCACTCACAGGCAGAACCTTTCCCTCCACAGCAACCCGGACAGATCCTTCCTAGGCAGAACGCGACCTCCTGCCACTAGCTCTATATCTGGCATCCCAAGGCTCCCCCACATCTCCTCAGGCAGGATGGGACCCAGTCCCTCGACCGCCTTTTCCAACAGCACCCTGGGCCAGCGGATCCCCGATGCCTCAGGCTGGAGGTGTCTCCCCACAGCACCCCCGGCGAGAGGATTCCTGTCCGGACACATTCCCGGGGCGCCAGCCTGCCCTCTGCATCCCAAGGGACCTGCAGTGCACCGCCGGGCAGGACGGGACCCCATTCCCTCTCAGCCCCACCGCCCCGGGCAGGGGACAGCCCCCAGCGGAGCAGGATGAGGCGCGTTCCCACCTCCACCATCCCGAGCCAGGGATTCTCCCTGCGCGGGCAGGACGAGACGCGTGCCATCCCCACCACCTCGCGCAAGGGAATCCCCATCCAGGCAGGGTAAGACCAACTTCCCCGGGCAAGATGAGACCCCCTCCCCCCCTTCTCCCGGTGGGCAGGGCACGCTCCCACCTCCGCACCCCAAACACGGAGGGGATGTCCCCACTATCCACAGAGTGCGGGGCCCGCTGGGGGGGGAGCCCCCACCCCGGGGCGGGATGCGGGGGCGGGCCGTGGCTCACCGCGCTGCTGTCCAGGGGCCGGGCCGGGAGCCCCGGGATCGCGGGCGGGAGAGCCGGAGCTGGAGCCGGAGCCGGGATCGGGATCGGGAGCCGGACCTGGAGCCGCCTCCGCCGCTGCCACGGCAACGCCGGGCACGGGCCACGTGACCCGCAGGAAACGAGGCGGGTGCGCCGCCACGCCCCCACACGTGACCGCGCTCTGATTGGGCTGCGGCTCTGCCAGACCACGCCCCCCTTGGCGGCAGGGGCGGGGCCTGGGGGCGACCCCCGCCCGCGACCCCACCGCGACCCCGTGGATTTTGGGGGTCCTGCGATACCGGGGACGTACTCAGTGATCAGAGAGGGAAGGCAGACCCCGGCACTCGCAGCCGGGTGGGATCCCGGGGGTCGCAGCCCCTCAAGGCGCATCTGGCAGGGAAAAAAACCCCAAAAAAAACAACAAAAAAAACCCCCAAAACAGCTCTGCGGATTCCTGAAATCACGGTCGGACTGAAAAATCCCCCACTAGTGACGGTGGTGGCGGGTCTGGGGCTGGCGTTGTCTCTAAGTCTTGGCACAGAGAAGGTATTGGTGCAATGGGATGCAAATGTGCTTTTATTACAGTTGTTAATTACACAGCAAAAAGTCGCCACTTACATAAGACAAAAGGCAGCGCTGCTCTGCCTCCGCCGGGCTGCAACCTCCTCCGGTGCCCTGGAATCCCGGCTGCTATCTCCCTGCACTCCTCCTCTATTGACTCAGCAGGAAATCCTGTATAAACCCATCAAAAGGACAGGGACAGCCTTATGGGAAAGAGAGGGAGTTCCTTCCCTGGAAACGAGATAAAGAAAATGCCGACAGGCAGCACAATGGGTCAGCTTTATCACAGGGTAATCCCATCATTCTGAATTCCCTTCTGCCCGGGGGGAGGGAAGAGACAGGAAAACACTTCCCAAAAACCTAATAAAGAGACAGATACATTTTTTTTTATCCCGAGTGTGCTTTTCACCTCTGCGATCAGGAGCACCTCTGCTAGGTTTTAGCACTAAGCCCGCTGTCGCTCGGGGTCTCACGAGTAGAATTGGAACAGAGCAAACTTTAACCCCTGAAGATTAGTCTCCATGAGGGAAAGGAGAGGGACTCTTCTAGAAAAGAATCCAGAAAGAGAGTTTAACATAAGCAGGTTAAACTCCCGGGCAGTTTTAAGCCTTTAAATTATTACTGCTTTGTCAGGGCCCTATTTGCAACAGGAAGTAGTTGTAGAGTTGTTCCTCGATTTACTACACACGGGAGTACTTCCCTTTTTCTACTCTGTGGATGACGTTTTCCCAGTTTTGAGGTCACAGAGTACCTGCATTTTGCCTTAACAAAGAAACATCCCTCGGAACCTCCCTTTGAAGTGCTTTGTATTCTCAACGAGCTCGTACTGCTGGGAACAACCACAACACGGCAGAGTATTTTTTGGAATTCACAGCAACACCTACCAAATACAGCTCCTACTGCTACACTGAGCCACCCCAGCCAGACAGACCGTGAGGCAGATCCCACCTTCACCAACATGTTCTCTTTGCTGTTTATGGATTTCACCTACAAACTCGGCATTCCTGCAAAATGGAGAGCATGAATAATTCAGCATGGGTAAGGATGGCATCTTAAGGAGGCAGGATGAGGCCACATAAACCTGTATTTGTTCAATCACCAACATCTGCTCTACTTAATGCAGAACAGGACTTAGCTCAAAGGCCTGACAAGCTTAGAGGCAGAACATCTTTATTTGTGAGGCTCTCAGTTCTTCTCTGTCCATAAAAAACACTGTATTTTTATGGCTTATCCCACAGTATCCACAGGGTTTGCCTGCCCTAAGGGGGATTCACATGAAGCAGTGCTCATAACTCATCTCTCCATAGGGAAAATGCCAGGTGCAGAACATCCATCCTGCACCAGAAGTGCTCAGGAATGAAACATTGCCACAACCTGCCTCTGGGGAGACTGAGCAGAAAACAGTTCCATGCGGATCTCTAACTGGGAGGGGGGACAGCTGGGATATGGACCTTGCAGGTCAAAAGTTATTCAGCTCTAAAGTCTTTGGGTATGTACAGGGGAACTAAACACAAACATCACTTGCACTTGATCACATCTGCTTCCCAGCCACCACAGTAACACCACTGAGAAGCCATTACATAAAGCCAGCTCAGACAAAATGCAGGATTTCTGGCAGCACTGCTCAACAAAGGATAAATCTAAAAAGAGATCCTCCCTTTTTACTGTTTTTGCTTAAAAAAATTTGGCATTAACCAAGGCTTGAGAAGAAGTAGCACCACATTCTGGATGCAAGGCTCTGGGATGAGCACGTCTGAAAGCCAGCAGGCACTTCTAATTAAAGATACACTGAAAAGACAACAATCAAAGTTACAAGTAAACCCACCACTGCATATGCTTTTCATTTAAGCACCAGTAAGTAAATGTATATATAGATGTTATCATTCCTCCTGGGGAATCCAAAGTGCAAAGCAGAGAGCTCAAGCAGAGAGAAAGGCAGGTGTCATTACATGAAGCTGTAACACAAGCAGAATTATTCCATTCCAAGCCTTTCTGCCACAGGACCTGGAGGCTTTACAGACATAATCTTTGGGAAAATACATTGTTCCAATCCAAAAGCAAAAACTAAGTGGCATGCAGCTAACACCTTTTCCATAGTTTCACGTGTGCCAAATCACTTGATCTCTTTCTCCTTTTCTGCAGCCCTGCAAGCATCTCTTTATTTTACTGAAATCCTCTTAAAAAAAAAAAAAAATAGAAGACAGAACAATCCAACACATCCCTTTTATTAATTTAAAAAACATGGAAGAAAAGCAATAGGGAAAAGTTTTAGCAATAAAAAAGGGATCCCGATTAAAAATCTATAGAACTTGTCTAGCAACATAAAGTGATTTCTTTGGGTTAGAGGTGACCCCATACAAAACCCCAAATTCAGAACACTCACAGTGCAGGAGAGTCTGGCTACAGACCACTTTTCTACTTCAGGTTGAACTCTTCCCTTAGATTCATGTATCCCACTGCTACCAGCTCCGCCATAAGTAGAATACGTAGCCTTCACAGTTATATTTTCCTTAAATGGTAATGGATATGTTTTAGCTTTCAGACAGAAAAACACTCTGGGCCACGTTAGAAAGAACTCCAGGGTCACAGAGACTTATGGCTGACTCTTTAGAGCAAACTTAGAGCAGACTGCACAGCAGTTATACAAGCAATTAAGAAAAAAATCTCTTATTTGGCATTTCTCTATCATTATCTCTCGGGCCTGTGACGTGAAGGCCATGCCCCGTTAAGCAGATGTAACGTACGGCCAATGGGTTCTGCTTGGCTGAGATGAAAGGCTTTCATGCTCCTGGATATAAAGCAATGAACAGTGTTTCCAGCTGTCCCTGAAAGGCCTCATCCTCTTCCCATCACAAAACTTGGCTCTTCAGCGTCATCTTCCTTCTCTTCCTCCTCCTTGCTGTCCTCTTCGTCATCCTCGCTGCTGCCTCGCTCTTGGGATTGATCAGGTTCTACAAACACAAACAGGGTGAATCCGTAAGGTGTTCCCACCTGTCTTCCTTCTCAAGTATTTCACAACAAAACAGTCCCAGCTGCTAAGGAAATGTGTATTATTAGGTCATGCTAATTAGCACGGGTGGATAACATATTCCCCTGTGTCTTCCTTGTTAAATATCTCACAACTAAGTAGTCCCAGATATTCAGGAAACATGTATCAGGTTATGTTCATTCCACCGAGAGACAGGGAGCTCGGAATATCAAATTCCCCCTTGGAGAAATATTCCCTTACCTCTAGTGTTACCAAGTCCACCTCCTATAGAACATTATCTCTTCAAACAGAGGTAGTCAAACACCGGGGATGATGGATTACCCCATTCCCAACCTCTGCAGGTTGGCATGAACTTTCAAGGATCACAGAGTACTGTTACAGAGCACTGGGAAGCCACGAACAAGACTGAGTATATTCCTACACCTATCCAAGGACAGACAAACTCCACAGGGTGCCATCAACTTTTACAGACTGTTTGCTATACTGCAAGTCCAGGAACCCACTAAGATGTGCCTAAGGTTAACAAGGGTCACAGAAAACTCATGAGGCCTGCTAATAGAAAACACTTAATAGAAATTAAATAACCAATCATGAAAATGAGATACAGGATCAAGTGGGACCCGAATCTGATTTTTTCTGCTCTTTACAGTTCCTCAGGCCCAGTCAAGCTCATGTCCTGACCAGTTACACGTTGGATTTAGGATCAGTGATCTGATGCCACCGCGTGGTGAAGTTCTGAACTTTCATTTCGTCTTAGGGGTTTGTACAATAATACAACTTTAACAGCTGACCTGATTCACTGCCAACCCTTATTGTGAGTGTATTTACTACAACAAAGGTGAAAGATGGCAATTCAGAGGTTTCATTCATCTATTCAAAAAGGAAGATAAATGCTTTCCTACTACACACAACAAATGCACTTCACTTAATTTGGGAAAACTCAGATCTGAACCGGGGCACACAAAACTAGAAAAAGAAAAGGCTGTTCTGAGTAGAGAATAGAGATGGCTATCAGGGGCTTCTGTCTCTACTGGTATTATTATCATTGTTATTACTACTACTATTATTATTATTTTACATAGAGAACCACAAACTGTAAAGAGTTAAACATGTAATAAAGACAGGGGAGTTTGGATTCTGTCTTTCAGGAACTTGTGTCAAACAAAACCACTCCAGCCCCACAACTGGTACACAGCAGTGCCAGTCCCTGATCCAGCTCTCCTCTCTCCCAGCCACTCCCTAAAGGGATGGGTATTCTGTTTTGTTCACTCGAAATGAACAAAACTATGTTGACTCATACTTAAATCCTCCTCCTAGTTACAAGTGATAAATGAGTAGCTTAAAAAAAAACCCCAACAGAACAAAAACAAAACACCCAAAAAACCTACTCTGCTACATTCACTTGCTGTCACAAGTAAAATTAACCTAACAAGTAATTTGTCCTCCCGTGTTTACATGGGAGGCTGGCAGTGGTTCAGCTGAAACAGATCCAACTCTGAAAAGCAAAGCAGAATTAAGGTAGAACTGTCAGACAAGTCACTGTTCCAGCAGAATTACCAGCAACTGCTGTAACTTTAAGAATTACTGCAGTTAGTGAGCTAATCCACAAAGGACAACTATTTGAAAGAGTAAGCTAAAATAAACTCACTGAAAAGAAGCAACAATACGCAAAAGTTTGAGCAAACAGTTACACTGACACGGCTGAACATTAATTTTCAAGACTGCAGGAGGACAGAGGCAGTCAGGTTTCCCATGTTTATTTCTATGCAAATAAAATAGTTGTGTGGAACAGATGGCACCAAGGTGGCTCAATTTCTTACGCACACAATCGTTTCTTGCTGCCCAAGCTGTGCATTTTTTTCCACCTGTTTTCTCCATAAGCATTCAAAATATACATAAAAAAAAAAAAAGCACAGCCTTGAACAATACTGCCTTTTTGAGCAGATGATGTTCTAAATCTGCAGTTTGTTAGAATAGCTGGGGCAAAACATCCACAAACAACCAAATCGGATTCCAATGTTTGCTGTCCAAAATTTCCCCTAATAAAGGGAAAATATTCACAAACAGCCAAGTTATTTGTAAGATTAAATCTCAACATAGATGGCTTTCAAAGAGGATTTTGAAACATTAGCTAAAATAACAAGCTTAAGGCTCAGGCTTCAATCCACGTATTGAGAATGCTTGGGGTGGGAGGGTGGAAAAAACCCTTCTAGGCTTCAATTAGGGAACTGAGTCTTGAGGAAAGAAAAACAAATTTCACTGACCTTTTTCCTGCTTCTTTTGTTCAAGTTTATTTTTCTTAGCTTGCAGCTTCTTCTCTTTTAACTTCTGGCTGTAAAGCAAAGGAAAAGAACCCGTGACAAATCCTATACTGTGAAGCTTCTGAACGTTCATACACTGATAAAGGACATATTGGAAAAGCTGATTTCCGAAGTTGAATTTAAATTTGGCCTTAACTGAAAATTCAGCAAGAGCAAACTTAGCACATGATCAACAGAAACTTTTCTCAGTTGATTTTAGTCTAATGGATCTTTTAAGTCTTCCATGATGCCACTGCAACCCAAACTGTATGATACACAAGAATCTAAAAGAACACTGATGGAACAAAAATGAAACTGCCCCCATATTTTAGCTACCTAGCCCAATGAACAAAAAGAGAAAATGGTGTTAAAACCCAGACTGCTGTAACTGAACACTGGGGGGGAAATACCACCAGTAATATATACTTTAACTGAAAAAAAAAATTAAAAAAAAAAAAAAATAGTGCAGTATGCTTTGACCTTCCTCTTTGGCTGTACTTCCTCGGGATATTGGGTCCTTGGAATAACACTAGCAGTAAGAGGGAAATGCTGTTCATAAAACCCAGTTTTGTTTGCCCAGAAAAGGCAATCAGGCAAGTTAATGTCAGACACAGGCAGAGCAGCCTAGGATTTATGTTCCTCTCTCACCACCATAAGCGAATTCTCTTGAAAGAGAGAGCCAAGTACTGTTAGGTCAGGACAGAAGAGAAGGGTGGTGAGGGAAATTAGAGGGGCTCCTACAGAGCAAAGCCACTTGGGTCCTGCACCATTAGACCATAGAAGGGGGACAAGGAGGTGTTAGTGTTTAGGCAGCATCTGCTGTTGGAACAGTTGTTCTCCCTCTCAGCCAGGGAAGAGGCAGCAGGCCAGATCTGACTTGGTGGCCATCTGTTGGACCACATGAAATTAAACTAAGATGGCAACAGTGTTTGTGTTGAGCACTTTTGTGTTAACGTGGCAGTGAGTCACTTTGCACAGGCCCTTCCACAGCAGCTCTCAGCCACAGGATGCAAAGCAGCGAGGGAGAGGCTGCTCAGGGTCAGACACTGTGAAAGAGCCGGGCCGTGATATTCTGCTATTTCTGAAACACGTGGTGGATAAAGAGAGTGGGATTTAAATTCCTGTATCACTGCACTACGATGTTCAGGCTGCTTCTTGAGACCATCAATCTTGTAATTGTTTCATTGTGTCTAGAATTTAGGAGCAAGATGGATTTAATATTTTTTAGTATTTTCATTTAACTTACTAGACTTGATCTGCAGGCAGAAGTGGCCTATCCACTAAGCAGCACCCAGTTTTGCACTGAAGCTGCTTGGTATCAGACGATTCAGATGTTAATTTAAGCCAGATATAAACACAAACCTTTCCTGACACTGTTACAACAAATATGCAGTGAGGCACGATGCAGTCAAGACCACGGAGTCAGCAAAAGCAGCTCAACCAGTCCCGAGTTATCCTGCCAGTGATGGCACGGAGAAGAAACCACGCCAGCAAAGCCTGTCAGGTTTACAGCTACCTTAAAAAACCAAACAATGACACTGACAAATTTAATTTCCACAACCAGACTTGCCAGCTGATAGATGCAGACACAGAATGACAGCGTTCATCCAAAGCATGCAGCTACAGATGAGGCACAAGGGTGTGAGGGTTTCCATGTCAAGCCTCCTGGGAAAAATCTGCCCTTACCGCTTCCTTCTGCGTTTTGCTGTTTGCTCTTCTGCAATCATCTTATTCCTCTCCAGTTTCTTCTGGAATTCCTCATCTAGTCTTTGCTGTAATTGATCACATGTCATACTTTGGTCACAATCTAAATTAAAATATTTCTTTTAAAAGTCATGTCCTTTTAGGGAGAAATCTTTTAGCAAAATACAGAAGGGAGCTCTGCCAGATTTTGTCTGGTTTCTTTATACAAAGCCATGTCCTAGGGATGACTGCTGTACAGACAGCACTTTTAACCTGCAGCCTGAGCCAAACACTGAAACCTTCTGAGGGAGGAATCCTGACCAGAACAGGTGAGGAAGGTTGGGCTTCTGCCTTAATGAATGTGTCGGTAAAAACAAGTGAATAATTGGAGACATAAACATTAACATATGGATCAAAGGACTCAGCCAAGAGAGAGTATAACAATAATGTTCTCTGAGAGGCCATTCTACTCGACCACGACTTAAAAAAACATCTGAACTCCATGCACAGGTGCTTGCCTTGATTCTGTCTGTGCAAGACAGTGATAATAAAAGGGATTCCTAGGTTTTAAAGCATTTTCAAGCCAACCTGAGAACACACACACTCACGTGTCTTACTGTGTGCTAGGACTCCAGGGAACACAGGAGATGGAGCATGTCTGACACAAAGCACCAAATGTTTCAGTACTGACACAGACGCCACGTATCACACACTCCTACAGACTCCTCTGACAAGGGGTGGCTCAGAATGGGATTATTTGTACATGACTTTCAAAGAAAACACAGATTTGCAGTGAACACCGAATATTCGGGGGTGAGGGGAACTATAAAGAGTTGTGCTGACCTTCTCAGCCATGGCATCCATGAAATCTTGCCTCTGGTACTCTCGCCGCCGGAGATGCCGGTACACGTGGAACTCCCCGCTCCCGGCTCCAGCACTGGAACCTGCAGCGAAGAACAGGCAAGTCTGCTAGGAAAGAACGTGTGTAGATTCTCCCAAATAACTACAGCTAGATGCTGAGGGATGGGACACATGAAAGGGCACTGTCAGTCGAAAATCTACCAACGACACGCAGAGCGTGTCACTGTTTTATATAAGCTAAAATTGCTCACAGACAAAACTCAAAGAGAGCTGCAAACCCACCCACTTATGGGTCACTGCAGGTCCTACTGGTTGATTACTCCCCCTGGAGAGCCCAGTCTTAGCTGCACATCAAGACAGGCAAAGAACCAGACATCAAATATACTCCCCGTTCTCTTACAGGCAGAGGTGAGCTGAAACATCCTACTGGGGCTGCTTCTGACTGATTTTCAGCATCTCACACAAAAAATAAAGGTCAACAGAAAGGAGATAAACCCCATCATATTGTACTTTCCCACGCAAGACAGATACCACTGACAGTTTCTGACTGTTTCTTCACAGATGAAATGCCCACAGCTCTCTCTTCCTGGCATCAGCCTGCATGTTGAAGTCTCACAGGAGCTTTCAACATCACTCTCCGTGCTCTTCCTCTGTCTGCTGAGCCATTTCTTAAGGCAAAGCACAGGAATACAAGCCTCAAAAAAGACACTTAATTAAAACACAGCAGCTGGGTCTTCAACAGGGGTGCTCTTGAATACCAGCAGAATCCCAGCATGTCAGGTGCTCCCAGAAAAACAAGACAGTTTGACTCAAGCACACAGCAAAGCTATTTGAAAAAGCCACGAGGGAGTTCCAATAAGCAGAAGAGTTTATTCCAAAGTGTATAAAAACTTCAGTGCAAGATCAGTTATTCTGAGGTAAGAACAAGTCAACCTCTACGAAGGATGAAGGTCCCAGAGAAAGACAGAACTTCTACATGCAGACACAGTTTATACCACAACTACTATATTTAATCCCTGCAGGTAAAAGTAAAGTATAAGCAGGGTATTTGGGCCAGGTTCCTCGCACAGCTGCCAGCTCCCTGCCTGACCACACACAACCATACCTGCTGCACGTGCCTGAGATCCAGGCTCAAAGCAGCCAGAAGGGCTTCATAATTGTAAGCTTCCAGAGCACTCTCAAATCAGCGGGAAAGACAGATTTACTTATCATCATTTACTTGTCATCACCAGAGCAGCAGCTTATTGCACTGCAGGCAGCCCACGTGCTGCAGTGCCACGGGCTCTGTTCACTTTGCATCCTGACTACCGGCAGAAAAGCGGGACCCGAGAACCAAATAAAACTCGAAAATGCAACTCTCAAAGCACATTTCACACCTCTTTCCTCCAGCAAAATGAGCAACAGAAAAACCATCTCTGTCCTCCCCTGTTAAGCACTTTTCTGAGTTAAATGTGGCTGACCCTGGGGGTATCTGAAGAACAGAATCTTTACCCATCACATCTCTAACGAACTCCGGGGGAGGCCGCGGTGCCCATTCGTTCAGTTTTTCGGGGATTGGTACAGTCTTTTCCTGCAAGAACAAACCAACCAGCCATCAGTATCTTCTAGGAGCAAAGTCTGCAATTTTAACACATTGCTGAAAGGCAGGACATGTCTGACAACAGCCTCTTCCATCAGCTGACAGATCTCAGAAGGAGCACAGCTGCAGCCATTTCTTCACGCACAGGGAGCAGGAGCAGGCAGAAGAGGAGAATCAGAAGGGATCCTCTCTGTCCCTCACATTCAGGCCTGCAGGTCAACAAACCCCGGGAGGATTAGCAGTGTCTGTGCTTCTTTTCGGTATGGGAACCAGGTGGAAGCATGTCAGCACCTCCAAGCACTCGCGGGAGCTGAGTCTGCTCCCACTACCAGTAGTCTGGGAAGTGATGAAAGGCATTTGTGCACCTTCCATGCCAGATCTAGAGGACAGGGAAGAGCAGGGGAGGGAGAACACATGGTGCAAGGTCAGAGGAAGAACGCGGTACAGGGACATCTCAGCTGCTCCAGAACACACAGGGCAGGGGTGAGAGTCTCCTCCTGGCAAGCACCTCCTTGGGAAAGGATTGAAGCACCCAGTTAGAAGAACTGGGGTCATTAAAAGCAGTGGGAAGAGCAAAGACCAGCGGGCAGAGAGCACTGAGGAGCCAGTCCTCCCCCTGGGTCCCCAGAAAAGGGTCTCTCCCCTTAACAGCACCCCAGAAAAGTCCCTCTCCCAACATGACAACCCAGTGTGTGGGGCGGGTGTCAGTCCCTCTCCCCTCGAGGACCCAAACAGGAGGAAAGGGCGGGGGATATCGATCTGTCTCCCCTCATGGAACCGGGAAGAAGGAAGGGAGAGGGGGGTCGGCCCCTCTCTCCTCACAGACCCCAGGGCGGGCGTGCCGGTCCCTCTCCCCTCACGCACCCTGGAGGTGCACTGTGGGGTCCCGGTGTCCCCCTCCCCTCACGGACCCTGGGGGTGGAGGGATCTCATTGTCCCTCCTTTCCCCCCTCTCCCGCCCCCGGTCCCGCCGCCCTCACCGGGTTCCTCATGAGGCGCTCGAGGCGGAGGCGCTGCTCCTCGGCCGCGCTGCGGGGGATGACGAGCGGCTGCGGCTCCTTGCGGGGCCGGGGCGGCCGCGGGGCCGAGGGCGCCGCCATGTTCCAGCCTTGGCCGTGCCCCGCCCCCCGTGACGTCACGGCGCGCGACGCTCCCCCGCCCCGTCATGGCGGGTCTGGCTGAGGGCCCGGGAGGGGCGGGGGCGCCGTGAGGGGAGTTCGGAGCCCTCCCCGCGAATAGCAATAGAGTCACAGAATCACTGAATCGGTTAGGCTGCAATACATGGAGCCCGACCTGTGGCCGAACACCAAGCTGCCAACCACACCAGAGCACCGAGTGCCATGTCCAGTCCTTTCCTTACACACCACCAGGGGCGTTGACTTCACCACGTCCCTTGCTCCAAGCCCCACCCAACCTGGTCTTGGACACTTCCAGGGACTGGCCAGCCATAGCTTGTCTGGGCAGCCTGTTCCAGTGCCTCACTACCTTCACAGGGAGTAATTTCTTCTCAGCATCCCACCTAACCCTGCCCTCTGTCAGTTTAAAGCCATTCCCCCTTGTCCTGTCACTACATGTCCTTGTAAAAAGTCCCTCTCCATCTTTCTTGTTGACTCCCTTCAGGTACTGTGCAAGGCCACAATTGGGTCACCCTGAAGCCTTCCCTTTTGCAGGCTGAACAACCCCAAGTCTCTCAGCCTTTCCTCACAGGAGGAATCGTCCTCTAATCATCTTGGTGGCCTCGCCTGGACTCGCTCCAACAGGTCCAAGTCTCATGTTCAGGTGGAACTGCTTGTGCTCCAGTCTCTGCCTGCTGCCTCTCATTCTACTGCTCGGCACCACTGAGAAACATCCGGCTTCATCCTCTGACCCCTCCTTCAGATACTCATGTACACAGATATACACGTTGTTCCCTGCGTCACTTCTCCCATGTCCCAGCTGTGGCTGTGCATCTTTCTCCCTGTGAAGCTGCGTTTGCTGAGCTCTGATTTCCTCTGTCACCCCAAGCACGTTCTCCAGGCTGCAGCGAGTTCAGTCTGTCCCCAACAGGACCCATTAGCGAGGCAGCTCTGTCATCTGCCACACTCCATCCAGGCTCTGGGCTCAGCTGAGCCCCGAGGAGGGTGAAAATTCAGCGTGCTTTTCACCGGCACCCTCAGCCCTGCCAAATCCTTTCCCCGTGACGGTGTAAGCGATACGGGACTTCCCAGTGCCTCGGTGGCAGGCTGCCTGCACCATCTGTTCGTGTCACTTTGGTAATTAACCAGCGCTGCCCGTGGGCTTTGTCTGCTGACAGTGATGAACGGCAGTGCCATTCCCCACGGCATGGCCTTGCCGGGCACTGGGGGATGTGGAGACACGGGCAGGTAGCAGAAAGGGGATGCTGCACTATCTGCATCCTTATTCACTTCTGGGCTTTGCAGGAGCAGTGCTTGGACGAGCTGAGGGGTTGTAAACTCCAATCCACGCTTGACTGACGGGGCTGGGGGAAGCCACGAGTGGGGAAGAGGAGCTGGAGCTGGCTGTGATCAGGTTCCTCTGCAAGCCAAATTTCTTTTCAAGTCGCTGTGGCCCTACAGAAATGGCATGGCATGTGCTCGGGCTGTGTGTGCGTCAGAGAATTAGCTACTAAAGGTCAGCTGCAATGGAAGAGGGGCATAAACCTTTGTGTAGTTTATGGAGATAAGCTGGAGCCGAGAAGTTGGGCTCTGGGTTTCAGACAGCTTCGTGCTGTGCATGTGGAGAGGGTGACAGAAAGGGGAACAGAGACGTTGGGAATGGCTTTTTCTGAGATTTATAGTTCATTTATATGACCTGAATTTATTAAGCCCCCATTCTCTTCTCCCTTCCGTGGAGAAAACCGGAGCTGATCCTCAGGTTCAGCCCTATGTTTACAAAAGACTTTTCAACCCTCACTGAGGTTGCTATGGAAATCACACTAGTTTGTGCCTCGTGTTTGTCTTACCAACCTGATTTGTAAAAGAATGGTGTGAATTTAGTGCTGGCTGAGTTCCCAGCTGGCCGCTGGTCCTGGAAGGCATCCTTGCAGTCTCAGCCCTGGCTGGAGCAATGCAAACAGCTTCCCCCATGCTGTCTGCCAGCTCCTCAGCTCCTGTGCCCACAGCTCTCCCAGCCTTGGGTCCTCTTCAGCCCACCAGAACAGAAATCTTACATTGCCAGGCTGGACTCAGCCTTGCCAAGGAAACACCAGTGCCATTACAGAGGCAGGGGCAGGTATGTGCCCCTGGTCCCTGCTCAGTCACTGCAGAACGTTTTTTAGAAGCAGAAGTGCAGATTGTTTGAGTTTCCTTTCTGTTTAGTCCTGAGCACAGCACAGGAAGGTTTTGCTAACCCCCAAGTTGTCACGGGTGTGAGTGAAGAGCTGCTTTCCAGTCCCCACGGGCTGCAGGGAGCAGCTGGATTCACTTGCCCAAAGCGTGGCTTGTGCCAGTGACAGCTCACAGCCCTGTCATCCAACAGAGCCCACGCAAACCGTGGGGAAAGAGACCAGGGAGCATCTTACTCTGAACCTACATGTCTCCGGAATTGGTGCAGACTCTTGGTGTGTTATGCACGTATTACTTTTAAAATATATCTATCCAGGGAGGGGGGCCAAGCCTGTTACTGGGTCATTCAAAAATAGAAAGTATTTCAGCAAAATACAAAGCCCACGAAATCAGAGTGCTGGGCTGGGATCTGGGCAGAACTGGGCTTACTGGGGTCATGGGATTTGCATTAGAACAGGGAAGTGTTTTCATAGGTCAGTGCAAACCAAACAACAAAACCCAGATCCCTGATAAAGCTCCACTGTGCTTCTGAGGAGTTTTCCTACCAAAGGGATCCTTCTGGAAGCACTGCAAGCCTTTGCTGAGACAGACCCTGCACGTCAGGCAGGAGCAGCTGTGGAGCTCCAACACCCACGTGAAATGTGGGCGGCTGCGCTGCTGAAATCCCTTTGCATTTTTGTCCTGTTCACAGTCTCTGCCAGGGCACAGCTCAGAGCCAGCATCCCCACAGACCACTTCAACATCCCTGCAAACCAGTCCAGCATCCCTGCAGCCCAGTCCTGTTCTGGCCCTGGGCAGAGGGCACCGCTGGCACAGAATCCAGCCCAGCCCACACACTGAGGTTGCTTTCCCCTCCCTTCACTACCAGATCTGTGTGTTAGATGCAAAAGGCTGTTGCATCCTGCCTCCCAGGAATCCTATGAAAGGAAAGGAAGGGATGTTTTCCAGCAAGACTGATGCTGTAGTTAGTCAATTTGCTAATAAGCTGAGGTGTGAATGGTTTAGGTTTAGGCAGGAAGAGCAGCTGTCCCACAGGCACATCTCTCAGTGCCAGCCTTGAGGGGAAAAGAGTCATCCACAAGGAGGGGCTGTCACCTCCCCAGCTGCCCAGCTCCTGATGGATGAGCTCTCCAGGAGCAGTGAACAGGCTCTGGAGCCTTTTGGGGGAGGGAATATTTTTGTGAATGGATCATGACACAACCGTGGCCTGATTCCTGAGCTGAGCAGCTCCCTCCACCCCCCCAAAAGCCATGTGTTAGCTGTGTCTGTCACGCTGCTTAGCTGTGACAGAACAGTCTGGGACAATGCCCCAGTTTTCCCAGGGGATTCTCAGCAGAAAAGAGCACACTAGAAAGACATACAACGTCAGAACAAGAGGCACTGCCTCCCAGGAGAGACGAAGGCATAGGAGGGGGAATGACAGGCTGTGGGGAATGGCTGATGGGAGATGCTCTCACAGGCCCTTGGCAAGGGAGGTCCATCTTCATACCCCAGAGCTGCTCATTCTCTATTATCCACTCTGCTTTGGGGAGGGAGGCATTTCAACCTGCACCAGTGACAGATCAGACAAAGAAAATAAGAGACTGGGAGGAGATAAAAGCCTGTCCTGTGCAGCCTGGACCCATCCTCCTCCTCCTCCTCCTTCCTCTGCTCAGCAGTGAGAAAAATACCCCTCTCTCCCTCCTCAGTGCACTCCATCAGGCAAAGACAGACTGAGCCCAGCCCCACCTGCCTTGAGATAGCAATGAGGTCTACAAACGTGTGACATGACAGCACCCTCCTTTTTTTCATGTAGCAAATCCAGCAAAACCCAAGCTCATGCTCACATGCCATCCTTTTTACCAGTGATTTTATTTTAAAACCAGAACTCGAGTTCTCCATTTGTTTATCAAGTCCCCCTCCCCCTTTTTGTTTTTTAAATAAAATTAATTTATTCTACACAACAGTAAACTCTTCCAGACTCTTCCCTATTTACAAATTAACATTTCTGCTTGCAGATCGTAGCTTCCCCCTCCTCTTCCTATCCTGTGACACAGAAAGTGAGAAACCAGCCAGTATCTGAAGGTCTGTAAGGCAGTGCTCCCATCCAGCTCCTTGGGACCTCAATGAGGAACCAGAGTGATGATGTCTGCGCTGTATCCAAAACCCCCCCTCATTCACTCTGTGTGTCCAGGTTAAACCCATCAGCCTTTCCCTGCTGCCTGGGCTCTTCCAAGCTGGGTTTTAGCTGAGCTGAGGAAGGAGAAATACCCTGGACAGAGCAAACTGCTCCTGCTGCTCTCTGAAGGGCCGTGCATTTGGGGAGAAGGTGGCATTTCCTGCAGGAATGAGATCCACCAGCTCTCATCTCACACACCCATGTGCCAGAAAGGCAGCTCTCAAATTGCAGAAGGAGCCTTGGAGACACCTTCCCTGCCCCCTGGAAGCAGGAGGCACAAGTGACTCGAGCGCTGGCGACATGCTTTGCTAGCTCAGGAAAGAAGGCACCAAAAAAAAATTAAAATTTGGCCCAACCAAATTCCAGGCAAATTCAAGGTTGTTTTTTTTTTTGAGTTAGGTTGTAGCTTGGCTTGTACCTCTCTTTGCACTAAGTGGTAACTTCTAGCTGCTATGGTGGGGTCTGCTCTACCTGGAAACCTGTCCAGGCACTCCAAAGCCACAGCTGCTAGGGAGGGACATCAACCACTGGTAAGGGCAGTCCTGCCCCTCAGCCTGGCCTGGCCCCCTGTGCCGGCTGGCTGCTCACCCACCTGGCAACAGCCCCACTTCTTTTGCTCTTCCTGGGCATTTCTATTTGTCTAAGAAAAAACAGTAACTTTCAATAGCAGTTACTGAAGATGTGTAGTGTTTTCATACCTGGGAGCCCAGCTGAACACCTGCACGGCAGGGCTGTCCCTCACCTCCAGACACAGCCCCTGGGCCTCTGTCTGACCCCCTCTACATTCCAAATGATCAAGAACTGATGCAAAGCAGGGGTGTTGTCATATTTTCCAAGGTTTGCCATGATCAATGGAAAACATTGCCCAGCTGTGGCAGAGAGCAGGCAGAAGGCTGAGCTGTTGCCCTTGTAGAGAGCTTAGGTTTTAAAAAACCAAGGAAGAGAGGGAGGAAGAAAGGGGTTACCCAGGGATTCTCTGTAGGTACAGCAAGGAGAGAAAGGAAACAAAGGAACACAAAAGGCAGGATAGCAGAAAAACCCTTCCTTGAATGCAATTCATTAAGCTTTGGGAAAAAAAAAACAACTTTTCCTGGCAGAGGGTGGGAAACACATGCCTCAGAGGGAGCCCAAAGGCCAGCCTGGATAAACCCTCAGTGGTGCCCTCTCAGTGATCCATGTATGTGAGCGCAGTCTCTGCATGTAGATCTGCCATTTCCATGGTCATCCCGAAATGCCAGAGTCCCTCGGCAGCTGGTTTGCAGGGCGATGGTGCCAGAAGGTTGTTGGCCATGTTGGGCTCTCGCCCCAGAATGGATGTGCCAAGGTGCTTTGGCTGGGGGATGGATCCTGTCACAGCTCCGGGCTGCCATCCCACGATGGTCACACCCAGGAGGAGATGCAGGGAGCTCGGCTTGACCCTCGGAGAGCTCTTGGTCCAGAGGGAAAAAGAAGAGGTTGCAAGCTCCAAAATGGCACTGACTCTTTCAGCCTCCCAAACCTCCAGCACTGCCCCAACCTTAGGGCTGGCGCAAGGTCCAGCTGGGACATCTCCTGCTGACACAGCTCCCAAAAGCAGCAGGGAGCAAGAAGGATGTCCCGGTTGGGTTGCTGGTGGTGGCAGGAGGAGGTGGCGAGGCTGGTGCAGCGGTGAGGGGAACAGCTGCCCCGCTTCCCCCCCGCATCCAGTCCCCAGGCGTGGGGGGCCTCAGTAGAAGGAGTACTGGTTTTCCACGGCCCGGGTCCGGCTCCGGGCGCTGTCAGCCTCGTGGTAGTCCTCGGCACTGGCGGTGGGGGGCTCCGGCCGGCGCTCCGTGCTGTCGCTGCGGCTCCGGGGGCCCAGGGCACCCTCCAGGCGGTGGTAGGGTGCGGGGACAGTGACAGGGGGGGCCACGGCCACCCCATCAGCAGGCGGTGGGGCTGGCGGGCCGGTGGGTGCTGTGCTGCAGAAGTAGTGCGGAGGTGGCAGGTCGACCCGGCAGCCTGGGGGCTGTGGCACAAGGGGTGGTGGGGGGCCGGCATCTGCAAGGGAGACAAGAGCTTGACCCCTCCAGTGCTCCCTCGCTGGCACCATCCCATGCCCATCCTCTCCATCCTCGACCCTGTCCTTCCCCAACCCCCCTTGCCCACACTCCCCCAGCACAGCAGGATGCTCTGGGCCCTGCGGACCCCTCTCCTCCCCTCCCGCTCGAGCCAGGGGACTGACACCCACGGCCAGGGACACGGGGGTCACACCAGCACAGCCCTGCTGCTGCGTGGTGTTCCCTGCCCGCCAACAGGATAACACCCACCTCGGCACCTCTCCAGAGCCACGCGCATCAGCACAGGCACGGCTTCAGGGAGGGAATCCCAGGGATCGTTCCCTTTTAGTTCCACACAAGATATCACCCAAACCTCACACCCAACCCTCCACATGCAGCCCTGCCCTTGCCCGGCTCCAGCACCTACCGGGCTGTGGGCTCTGGGCCACCACGTAGCTGCGGAGGGTGATGTCGGCTGCTCCGCCCGACTCCAGGGGGATGGGATGCGTGTGGAAGTGGCGCAGCATGTCGAAGATGGTCTGGAACCAGAGGTGCTGCACGTGGCACTGCCCGCTCTCGTTCAGTGACAGGCGGAGGTGCTGCAAGCACAGGGGTCAGCGGGTGAGCCGGGGATCACGAGGGCGAGGCCACCCTTGCCATCAGCAGCAGGAGCCACCTCCGTCAGCCAAGGGAGGTTTGCTCCTAACTCAGGATTGTCATTTTTAACCTGCTGCAGGGGGTTTCCTGCAAAACCCCACTCGCTGCAGCCCCAGAAGTTTAGCCCCTCTTAGGGATCAAAACCATAAAGAAACACCCAGAGAAGGGAGGCTGGGTGCAGCCAGCGGGGCTGAAGCTCCATCCCAGTGTCACAGATGGCTGTGGGGAAGACCCTCGCCCACCTGAACTACTTGCAGGACAGGTGACAAGAACAGGCAGTTATATTCCAACCCCTGACAGCGTGTGCCCTCTGCTAGAAACTCAGCAGAAAACTTCATTGGAGTTGGTTCTTCATAGTGCATTCATGTACTTTGGGGCACAGAGTGAAAAAGGAGAGGGCAAGGGATGATGTGCCAGGCTAGGCTGGGCTTCCATACGCTTATTATTTAATAATATTTAACCTTGTGCTGGCCTAGCAGGCACTGATCCAGTTAGGAAAGTGTAGAAGGGGCTGAGCAGGGTGCAGAGGGCTCTTGGGGGCACAAGGGCAGGCAGTCCTGGGGGTGCCCTGCCAGGGTGCAGCCCCCTGCAGAGCTGCTGTGTTTGGGGTCACTGCATGGCACCCGCTTGCTTGCAGAGTGGGAAGGAACCCGGGGTGCTGGGCAGGGCTAGTGCTGATGTTCACAGAGAAGCAGAGGACACCCACCTTGGCTTTCCCCTGGAAGTTGAAGGTCAGCACATACTCCCCGGGCCGCGTTTCGCTCTGCCGGATGACGAACAATCCGTGGCTCCGGGCGCCCCCGAAGAGCACCAGCTGAGCCGCCTTGATCCGAGAGAGAGTCCCGTGGAACCAGGGGAAGTCAGAGAGGTTGATCTCCGCCTCCGCCTCGCTGTCCTCCCCTGCCCGCAGGGACAGCAGGTTTTTAGGGAGCACCCAGACATCACCCCCCCTGCCCCCTCATCCTCTCCCTCAAGAGCGAGATGCTGGGGCCACATCCTGCATCCCGGTACCTGTGAGATGTGCAGTGGGGGAGGACTCCAGCGTCTGCAGGAAGTTCTCCAGTGGGACATGGGTGAGAAGCTCCCCCAGGGAGTCCCTGCTCCGGCCGTGGGACACGGGGACGGCGGTGGCCGTGGTGGTGTTGTGAGCGCTGGGCAGGGCACATCTGTCCGGTGGCTTGGGCACATCTGGAAGGGAATTTGCAGAGGGATAGGCTCATGGCTCAGCATCACCCACCATCACTGGACAAAGGTGAGGGCTGTCCTGCTCTGAAGGCAATCACGCTGGATGCCCTCGGCTCTCAGAGACACCTGAGGGCTGCGTTATGGGTTTGAGGGACTCCCAGGCTTTCCCAGATGTAGGTCCTTACCGTCAGCCAGGAACTCGCAGCTGGAGGAAGTTGTCTTGCCTGGCAGACAGCCTCCCTGTGCACAGGACACCAGCTCAATATCGTCCCCGCTGTCCCTGGGGGAGAACACAGAGCACATGGTCACATGCTGGGTGCCATGCTACAGACACATGCACGTGTGGCACCTCCACTGATTGGCACAGAACAGGGACTCAGCCAAACAAAATTCCAGCTGTGATCTATTTGCTTCCTCGAATAGAAGCACCAACACCACAGAGAGGCAGAGCAGCCACCAAACAACATGGCTTTTTGAGAGTGAGAAACCAGCATAAGAGGGATTAAGCCCCTGAAAGCCCATGCTATAGAGTCATGCTGGTCAGTCCCAGCTGCAGGATTTTGCTGCAACATTGTTGGTTTGGATGGAAATCCATCACCTTGACCCCCAGCCCTTTGCTTCGCAAGACATCGGTGCACCCACATACAATACCACTACCAACTTCCACCCTTTCACTTTCACTCTCTGCAAAGGGAATTACAACCCTAAAAGACATCAAAAAAAAAACAAGCCAAGAGGCCTGGAGCAAGACAATGAGTGGGAACAGACCAAGGGAGGGGGGCAGCCCCCACAGAGCATCCCTGCTGCCAACCCTCCCTGTGCACTTGAGCATCCTTCTTGCACAAGCACCCGACTTGCTCCACAGCCTATTTTTATCCTGGCTGTCAGAAGGAGCCTGGCACTGCCAGAGCTGCCAGCAGCACTGGGCTACTCTTGCTTAACGGCGGCCACGTGGGCACAGGCAGCGAGGAAGCGTCTGCGTCGGTGGTAACGGCTCCCTCGTGAGCTGCTGAATTATTTAGTGGCCAGTAAGTGAATCAGCCATTGGGAGTCATTCAGCTGCAGCCGGTTAAAAACAAGAAGGGAGGAAGGAAACCAAAACCAACAGCGCGTTGCAGAAAAGCCGTCGCCGGGCGCTCACGCGGCGGCTCCAGCACGCAGCCCTTGGCAAAAGCATCGGGAGCTGACTGGAAATTCGTTCTTGGCAGCGAGCGCATGTGTCGGTGTATTAAACAGCTCATTATTATTTGCTCTGGAGTTCATTATTATTTGCTTTACAGTCACGTCCGGAGGCCAGAGCGGGACGGCGCTGGGTGCTAAGCAAACAGAGAAGGCTGGGAGGCTGCCAGAGGGGCTGGCGCAGGGATGCCGGCGGCTCCTGCGGTGGCTTGAGGGGAGCACGGCCGTGGTGCTCGGCTCCGGCTGGAAAACTGGCACTGAAACATGCAGTGGGAAAAAAAAGGGCCTTTTCCCAGCCTTGCCTCCCTCAGCAGCCCAGCCTCAGCGCTGCTTCTTGAATTATGGGACTTAAAGCTCGTTCCACCCCCCACCCTGGGCAGGGACACCTTCCACTATCCCAGGTTGCTCCAAGCCCCATCCAACCTGGCCTTTAGCACTTTAAAGGAGAAGGCATCTGCATCTTCTCTGGGCAACCTGTGCCAATGCGTTATACATTTTAGAAAACAGGAAAAGGAACTGGAGGAGTAAAAATCTGGAGTGCCTCAGTGCATCCTCCCCACGAGACGCAGCCTCCACAGTAACCAGCCCTGTAAACTGCCTCTCTCCAGCAGAAGGGGGCAAAGGCAGCCTGGAGGCAGCAGGAGCCTCTCCAAGGCCCTGTTCCAGGTTCGCTTGAGGTTTTCACCTCTGCAAGCATGGGCACCTTGTTTTTCCAAAACTGTGCCAAGAAGGGCAGTGCCAGGGTTTCCCCAGAGGCTGGGCCTGTCTGAGCCAGCTGAAGGGCGGCAGCATCGGGCACAAAACCTCCCTAACACGTAACCTGCTGCATGGGCTGATGAAACAGCAGATGAGAGGTTCTGGCTGAGTGCGATGCCACTGTGATAGAAACGTAAATAAATCGATTTAACCAGCAGAATCTTAAATATATCGTGGATGTCAGACTAGAAAAAACCATGAAGAATAGCTCAAATATAGTATAAAAGCTTCAGAAGGTGGGTGGTAGAAGGTTCCCACGTTGAGGCTGCATTCCCAGGTCACCTGCCTCTGCCAGGCTGAGGTGACACGGAGAAGGGAAGAGTGAACAGGCAGCCAGTGCTCTGCAAACACAGGCTGCAAACTTGGCCTTCAGACTGCTGTGAGCTGGGGACTCCTATAACAAACTGAGTAGCAAAAACTGCATTGGGGTAACAACCTGTGCTCAGGGGTGAGGGCAGCACAGCAGTGCCCAGCTCAGCCCCACAAGGCCCCTTCCCCCAGCAATCTTACCCGGGGTCGATGCAGTCCTGGATATCCGCCACCCAGGAGTGCTTCTGCAGGGAGTCGATGGTCTCCAGGATGTACTCAGCCCCGTTCTCCACCTGCAGGCAATGTGGGACGGTGGTGTGAGCAGTGCTGGGGTCCTGCCACCCACCCCCCATAACCCAGCTGGACCCCCACAAGACCTGCTGCTGAGCAGGAGAGAATCCATGTCCTGCCTCATCCCAGCACAGGGGTGGCTCGAGGGGCGGCCCACAGAGTGTTCTGGTGTGCCCAAGGGTGTGCCCCCTGACCAAAGATGGGGCTCAGAGGAAAACTCCCACCCCACAGTTATTAGCACATGTATCACAAGTTTTTTTTACAAGGTTTTTACAGCCTCCATGGCAAAACCACACCTGGCTGGCGGCATTTGAGGATACACGGCATTATGTGCCAGCACGGATAGCATCTCTCATTCTGGGCACCTCAGTGCCCCCCAAAAACTAGCTCTGCACAGGTAAAGTAGAAGCCACGCTGCTCTCTGCCCCAAAACCCTGCCATGCCCCAAAGCCAGGAGTTGAAACCTCTCCTCTGTTATCTTTTCTGCCTGCTGGTCCATGAGGCTTGAATTTCTGATTGCAGCAGGGTGGGAGAGAAGCCCACTTTCACAGGGAAAAAAATATTAGGCAAAAATCAGGATGCAAAAGAGCGTCCAAAATGGCAAACCCAAAGCAGCTGTGCCTTTCTGGGGACAGGGAGAACCCAGAAGCCCACATCAGTAGCCACAGATGCCATGGGATGCTGTGTGCCTCTGGCAGATTTCCCTGCATCCTTCATGGAGCTTTATACATCGCGTTCCTGAGCTGGCAAAGCATCCCTGACTCCAGGAGGGTATCACATTGCCAGCTGAGACAACCTCCAAGCAAATTAAATTAATCACAAACAACTGAATCACTGTCCTGAAAATAAGCAGGGAGGGCAGGGAGCAGAGCCCCGGCTGAGGTTGAGCAGTGACCTGGTCCCTGCCACAGCTTGGGTTGTGCCTGAGTGATCCTGCCCCAGGCAGAGGTGTAGGAGAGCAGCAAAGACACCCCCCAACCCCCCTTAATTTGTTTAACCAGAGGAAAGGAGCTTCTCTGGCATTCTGAGGACAACACACAAAGCTGACGTGAGAGACAGGGCTGCTCACTCATGCAGAGCATGACAGCAAGCAAAGCACGTGCAGGGTTTGGGTATTTTGCAAGCACCTGCTTGTGCAATGGAAAAAACTGCATGTGCTTGGTGTCTGATGGGAGCTGGGGACATGCTGCCTGCTCATTTTTAGGCAATTTGGCAGCAGCTATTCTAGTGTGGCCTCCCTAAACAAGGCAGGGGCTTTTCCACCCATCATAAACCTGCAGTGTGTGAAGGCTGAGATTGGGGAAGGGAAGCATCACCCAGGAAGGCAGCAGGGAAACCACAGCACTCAGCTTACCCATCTAACCTTTACCCCAGCACCTGTGGGTGCTTCACCCCCTTTTGCAAGTCCAGCCAGCAAAGGGGGGAATGGCAGAACAGCAAGATGATGTCCCAGCACAAAGGGACTGGACAGAAAATGAGCCACAAGTAATAATGGATGTGAGAAAGAGGAATAGCATTCTGTGCCCACAGCTGGGAGGGGAGGGCAAAGGCTGGCTGGAAGCAGTAGGAGAGGGGCTCAATGCCACGCTTGCTGCCTCTGCTCACTCAAAGGATCGATTCCAGTCAATTCCCCCTGTGGCAGGGTGAGCACCCTGGCCAGGACAGGGCAGGAGCAGGAGGTACCTGATAAATCAGGCATTTTTTGACTGGTGGGGTTTGGAGCATTCCCCAAGTAAATTAAAGAAATGGCTGAAGTAGCCACTGATCCATTAGTGGTGGGGATGGATAGAGCATTTCTGTCTCCAGAAGATGGGAAGAGGGCAAACCCAGAGTTCTCCTCCAGCAGCCAAAGAAACTGACCCTTGTGGACACCCAGAAAGCACCCCCAGAGCTGAATCCCCCCCAGCAGGGATCTGTCATGACCAAACACAGTCAAACTCATCTGCTCATGCTTGTGACAGCCCCTGGGATGGGGAGAAGCAGTGGCACGTCCTCTGCACCAGCCACACTTCAGACACTGATGCAACACAATAGAGGTGGGATTTGCAAGGGGACCTAGAAAACACGACCAGAGGTAGCTGATGAGCAGTATTCCAAGAGCAGTGATCAGTGGTTAACAGGCTATTGATGGCCAATGGTCAAAGCTGAGGGATTTGCTCAGCAGTTCCTTCCCCTCAAAGGCTCTCCATGTGTGCTGCTCCTCAGTAGTGATTAGGACAAAGGCAAGCGAGGATGCCTGATCAATTCATGGGTGACACCACTCTGCAAGTGTGCTGAAGGATGAGGCAAGAATTCAAATGCTCTTGTCAAAGCTGAGAAATGCTTAGTGGAAGAAAATGCCTCCAGCTCAAGGACAGGGGCAAGCTCTGGGCTCACACCGATTGCTGTGGGTGTCTGGGCTGGGGAATCACAACTCTGGAGCAGTTCTGCAAAAACCATTGAGGGGTTGCACCAGCCCACAAGCTATGTGTGAGTCAACATCATCATCATCAGGGTATGAAGAAAACAGCCAGATCAGCTTGGGCTGGATAAAGAGGAAGAAGAAAGCAGAAGCAATCAAAGGAGAAGCAATCCTTCCTATTCGCTCTTGGGCATGGCCCCATGTACACTTTGGGGAATTCTCTGCAAGGAGAAAGCCTGCAAGGAAAGCAAGGAGGACCTTGGGCTGGTCAGTCTGGAGGCCAGAAGACTCTTGAGGTTGGTCTTTGAGACACAGAAGACAGCTGAATGACCCTCCATGGCCATGGTGGACACAGAGCGCAGCAGAGGCTGAAGCTGAGGAGCAAGAAGCCCTTGGGGCAGGGAGGATGCCCTGAAGGAGATGCCAGGAGAAAATGTGGGACCTTGACAAGGAGCTGGGTTTGGTGGAAAATGATTTGCCATGGGAATGTGTGCCATGGCCAGCAGGCTACCAGGTGCAGGGGTTTTCACAAAGCCAAGTTTTAATTTTACCTTCCTCTGCTTACACAGTTTTCTAAGCTTTCAGGCAGGTACATTCAGCTGGGAAGCCTGGCCTCTCCAATCTGCTTTGCCACACACTCTTAGGGGAGAAGCTCTTAGGAAGAGAGGTGTTTTTGGAGCAGAGGTAGGACACAGAAACACTCAAAATGCTGGTGTTCCCCCATGTATATGTGCTGCCTCCCAGCTGGGCACATCCCACAGCTCTGATGGAAAGCATGACTCCACACGAACAGGAAAGTACCACCCCACTAGCTGGAGAGAAACACCACTTCCAACAACACATCCATCATCATGGTGGCCAGGACCCTGCAAGATTCAGCCCTGATCTGCCATGACAGGCTGTTGCCTTCCAGCAGAGCAGGAGGCAGCATTAAGCTAATTAACTGCATGATACGGAAAAGTCTCTTTTGGAGAGACTTCCACACTCTGCTCGTGCCCCCAGACTCACGTGGGGTAGTTTGATCCCCAGGGTCTCAGTGGCCCTGCACAGCTGTTCCCACAGAATCATTAAGGTTGGAAAAAACCTCTAAGATCATGGAGTCCAACCTTTGACTGAACACTACCTTGCCAACTAGACCAGAGCCCTGAGTGCCACTGCCCCATGTCAATGAAACAGCACAATGAAAACCACAAGCAGCTGCACCAAGGAGTATTTTCCCTTGCAGGTTGTCTCTGGACACTAATTTAACCTGTCTCCTAGTGACACAGAGAAGCCAAGCCCCACGGTGAAAGCCAGGCAAACAGCTCGATCCCCAAATCCCCGGGTGTCAGGTGGAGGAGACACGGATCCCATGGGGAGCATTAGTGCTGTCGGCATCTCAGCTCCAAAAGCCAAGGCAACGATCCCCTCAGGAACTGAGCATCCCTGCAGCAGGGGCTGGAAGCAGGTGCACATGGAGGGACACACACCCTGCTCTCACCTTTAGGACGAAGGTGTTGTCTTTGTCGGGCATCTCCAGTGGCATTGTGGTGCGGACCTCGATGATGGCCGACAGCGGGATGCTCACCTTGGGTTTGGAAGCCTGGGGAAAAAAACGGGGGGAAAAAACCCCAAAGAAAATAAATTAAAAGAAATCAATGAATGAAAAAAGTCACTCAATTGAATCAAACTGTCCCTGGGGACGACGCAGTGCAGCTCTCACAGGCAAGATCAGCTCAGCCTGTGTGGTTATTACAGCGGGGGAATAAACAGCATTGATTTCCCTCCCATTCTGATAACTCTGAGCTCTTTGAATTAAACCAAGAGGAGGCCCAGTGGAAGACAGGGAGGTGCATTTAAGTGCCAAACCTCCTCCCTGCTGCAGCACAGGCTGAAGTGCCAGCTCTGCCAGCACCACTTACTCCTCTCCATCTTAAACCCTCTCCCAACGGGGATCCGCCGGGAGAGAACTGTGCTGTCTGATGGGGGATGTTTCCCATGCGGAAAAGCAGCTCCCTTTATCCAGCACAGGAGAAGCTCCGACGCAGCAGCCTCAGCCATGCAGGGAATTTTAATTACATTAAAATAAAGAAAAATGAATTTCCCCCAGGGGCCCCTGGCACCCGCCGGAGCCTCGATGGGGGGGGCAGGACCCGGTGCCTCCCACTCAAAGTGTTTGCTGAGCAACAAATTCCCCAGATATTTGTTTTAATTATAACAAATCCCCCCAAAGGAGCCTGCAGAGCTGCTCTCCAGGGCTCTGGGATTCGGAGCATCACGGATGTGGGAAGTGGAGATGCAATTTAGTCACTGAAACCTGTGCCTGGTGCCTTGGGTGCAGGGGGTAGGATGAGGCCAGGGAGCAGCTCCGGGCTGCAGTTTACCAATAACGGGCTCGGTTCCCATTATTATTGGGAAATGAAAATAAATACATCCAACACAGAACAGAAACTGCTTTTTCCCTTCCAGGATGTTTCATTTCTGCCAGCCCTGGAGCCCCAGCGCTGCCTCCAGACACGTCTCAACCGTGCAAGGCTCTGCCCATCCCCAGGGAATTTTTCCATCGTGGTGTTTGCACAGGAGAAGGTCAGAAAGGAGGCGGCAGCTGCTTCGAAAGGAAAGGAAACAAGGTGATAATTCACTGCTGAGCCAGAGAAAGGGCTTAGAAGCACAGAATGGTTTGTGTTGGAAGGGACCTTAAAGATCATCCCATTCCAACCCCCTCTTCTCCGGGAAGGCTCTTCCTTTTAAAGATTTAAGGACATGGCCATAGTTTTGGTGGGGTCTGCGCAAAAACAAAGCTGTAGCTGCTGCAGAAAAAAAGCTGTTTTCTTCCAGCTGTGCCAGACTGGTGCCACTTTTACAGCTGAATCGTTTGCCAGATGGAAAGCAAGATGGGATGAGGGGAGAAAGCTGTAAATTAGAGCAGGGTGTGATTATAACAGAGGAGCAGACAATGTTCATAAAAGTTGCTGTAAAATAATTTCAAAATTGATTTTTAGAGACAAATCAAGATACACTAAAAAAAGAATCCCTCTATGAGCTCCCTCTAAAATGTTTTAAGAGCAGCAGTTGTTCCATTTTAACCCAAGTTTATTACCCCGTAGGTGCAGCTTATGTGTGAGTGCTGCTCCACGCAGCCCCCACCCACCAAATCCTCTGTGCATAAAATCAAGGAATAGTTGGGTTTGGAAGGGACCTTAAATATCATCTCATTCCAACCCCCTGACGGGGCAGGGACACCTTCCACTACACAAGTTGCTCTAAGCCCCGTCCAACCTGGCCTTGGACACTTCCAGGGATGGGGCAGCCACAGCTTCTCTGGGCAACCTGTACCAGGGCCTCCCCACCCTCACAGCCAAGAATTTCTTCGTAATATACAATCTAAAGCCATTGTCTTTCAGTTTGAAGCCATTCCCTCTTGTCCTGTCACTCCACATCCTTTCCAAAAGTCCCTCTCCAGCTCTCTTGAAGGCTCCCTTGAAGGCATCGTGCCATGGACATGGGGTTGTCTCCTTCCAGCCAGGCCTTGTGCAGTCCCTGGGCTGTGGAAGCCCCCAGTCCAGCCCCCAGTGATGCACACCATCCATGCCAGTGCTGAGCCACTCTCCAGAGAGATGCACTTCAAATGCATCTTTTGTATTTTATCAGAAGGACGGGTGTTTGGGTGAGAGGCACAGACCAACACCCACAGTGCCAAGGTTCACTCTGGCCTGCAGGCTGGATAGGTTTCAATCATCACATTTTCCCATCCATTCGCACCTCAGCCACACAGCACCAGACCTCCCTCTGGACCAGAGCTGGATTCCATCCCAGCTCAGCAGTGGAAACAAGAAAAGCCTCAAGCAAAGCCCAACTGCTGCTTGAATTGCTCGTAAAAACAGCAGTGGAGAAAAGCCAGGACTTACCTTTGGAGGGACATAAAACTCAAGGAGGAACCTCTCTCCTTCCACCTTCACCGCTTTCCGGAGCAGGAGGCGGCACTTCTGCCACTGTGAACTCCCCACACAGTTCGTGTCATCGGCCACCATGTAGCGCAGCGTCCCCTCCCTCTGGATGTCCACCAGCTCCACCTTGGAGGAGGGCACCTTGGACAGGCGCAGCTTGTGGGTCCATTTCTCCCGGGGGTCCCCGGGTTCCTTGCCCCCGGCCGGCCACGGCTCCCTCTCAGCCCTCCGGCCGCCGGGAGCAGCCTCGGCGCCCGGCTCGGGAGAGGACTTGCGATGCCACATCTCCTTCATGCCATCCACCACGCACAAGCTCATGTTCCTCAGGGAGAAGCCTTTCTTGAACTTGGGCTTGGCAGCGGCGTGGATGGAGACATCCTCTGAGCTGCGGGACTGGCCGTAGGAGGACACCTTGCGTGCCTGCACCTGCTGCGCCGGGGTCAGGTACCGGCTGGCACCCAGCTGGGTGTCCATGCTGTCCAGGGACTCGGTGGACGTCTCCTCCTTCCTCGGGGTGACCTCCCGCCCGTAGGGGACGTGGCAGTTCTGCAGCCCCACGAAGGGCACGATGTTGTACTTGGTGGGCGAGTCGGACACGAACACCCGGCTGACCTCCAGGCTGAAGATGTCCAGGAAGTTGGCGGTGAAGTGGTGGGAGAAGGAGGTCTCTGCCCCGGGGGTGTCGTAGTGGGGGTTCTCCTTCAGGAACTGGCAGAACTTCTGGGCGAAGTCGACGGCGGCCGCCTGGGCGTGCAGCTTGCAGAACTCCCTCCAGTCGGGGAGTGGGGAGGAGGGCTCCTGGCACAGGGCATCGCCGTTCATGGCTGCCCCATTCCACCTGCCGGCAGGCTGTGGGGGTGAGGGCACAGCGTGAGCCTGGGCATGGACACGGGCAACCCACCCTGCCCCTCCCTCCCCCACGGGGGTCTCCAGGAGCCAGCCTGCAGTTCTGGTGCGAAGGAAGACACTGTGGACAACTGTCTGTGTGTCGCCCTCTCTCCACCTCATACACTAGAAAAAAATCTTGGCCCCAGCAGCAGCCATAAATTGTACTTATTTTACGATTATGACCATGCAAAAGCGTTATTGATTTATCATAAAACCGCTAAGGAGTCCCCGAGCGGAGGAGCCCGGGGGGATTTGTCTTCAGGATTTCTCTCGCTGTGTGTCTGCCTGGGCATGGCACAGCTCTCCATAGGGTGAGCGAGCACCAGGAGTCCTGGCAGTGCCCACACAGGGCAGCACCCTCCCCACTCTGCACCCAGCAGCTGGTCCTTCTCGTTCTCCATTCTCTATTTCTGCCCTGATCCTTTGCCACTGGAGCATTGTGGGGTAATGGATAATCTGGGACAGGTCCTTGACAGAGGCCAATGAGTAGATGGGGTACAGGGGGAAAAGAAAACAAAAGCCAGATGCAGGAGCACACCACAAGTTAATGGGAGCTGCAGACCAGACCCAGGTGCCCAAGGGAGAAGCATCACTTTGCCCAGTCTCCACACTGGTCCCTCTCCCAGCAGCCACAGGCTGGGCAGGCCATGTGTGCAGTCTGGCTTGGTGCTTATGCTGCACTTCCCAAATATCTACCAGGCTTTGGGTAGTGTGAATGGCCTCCCCAGGGAGATCCCAGCAGCAAATGCATCTCCAAAATCATCTCCCAGTGCTGAGACTGCTTGTGGTCTACTGGTGACAGTGAGCCTTGGCCAGTGAGCAAGTGGGGCACTGCTCAGCCCACATCCCAAAACACAAGGTCCATGTGTCCAGACACCCTCCTTTCCCCCTCAGGGCAGCAGTTTGGCAAACCCACCTCAGCTGGCTCAAATACAGAGCCCAGGGGTGCCTGCAGCTGCCATGCTGCAGGCAGGGACTGTGCCTGGGGGATCCAGTTCTGGAGAACAGGACAGCCCCCCTGGGTTTTGCTGTTCTCCATTCACAGAGCAGCTCTTTCCCTGGATTTTGCTGTTCTCCATTCACAGAGCAGCTCTTTTGCTGCTGAGGGATTACTCCTGCTAATAAATCACGCGCAGGATCCCGCCAGCAGCTTACACAGCCAATAATTAATTACTGCTCGGATGAACTGCACAAGCCACGGGATCAGGGCGGGCACTGGGGACTGGGATAACCCGCTCCTCATCCTCCAGACCCCAACCACGTCAGTCACCAGGTCCAGGCAGGACCAAGGCCTGAAGGTTGTGATACAGAGCAGCAGCTGTGGCCAGGAACCGGTTGCCATTTCCCCAGCACATCCCTACGGAGATGAGGCACCACCTGACCTACCAGCACAAAACATCTGAGCTCTCCAGGAGCACCTCCATCCCAGGAAGTGGCTCTCCACCCCCTCAAACAAGGAGAAACCCACACAGGCAACAAAAAATCTCAACAGAAACACGATGCATGTAGCGTCTTCCCACCTTTAAGACAAGGATACTGCCTGGTGCCCTGGCTGTGCCAGGGAGGCAGTGAGGACCTGCACTAGCCCCTCACATCCCACAACACCATCACCAGTCTCCAGCAGAGCCCCAGCCTCTGCAGAAATCCCTGGCAAGGCTCTCTGCAGCATCACAGGGCTTTCCTGGAGACCTGAGCAGGGAGCCATGCCAGCTGGGAAAAACCCCATCCCTGCAGTTTAGGAGCAGCGTCTGAATTTCCCCAAGAGACAACAGGAAAGTAACAGAAAATGCAAAGCTGTTTGTTACCCGCCCAGCAAATGAAATTCCTAATTATCCATCCATCACCAAGCAGAAGATTCAAAGACTTGGCTTGTGGCAGCAGCTACTGCCCTTTGAATTGAAAATTCACAGCCCCAGCTCTGCCACAAACTCCAGGAGCTGCCCTGGCACCAAGCCACGGGCCAGGAATATTTGGGCTCAGGGAGAAAAGGGAGATGAAAAGGAGTCTCCTGCTGCCAATCCAAGCAGTCACAGCAAGAGCGAGGAAGGGGGAAAGGGTGCAGAGGGAAATGAGGAGAAAAGGGCTTGGGAGGGGGAGAGAAAGCCCCACAGTGATGGGTTTAATTGCATCTGCCCTGGGTGTCGAGCCCCAGGGCTTTGCTGGTTTACTCCCCACAGATGGGGCAAGAACACTTCTCCCCATCCCTCTCTCCAGGAGGTGCTTGGAGCGGGACCTGCCTGCCCAAAATCAAGGGATGGCAAGCCAAGATACAACAGACTCTGAGATGTTAAGGGAAAAAAAAAAAAAAAAAGAAGAAGAAGAAAAAAAAAAGACACTTCAAAAAAGATAAAGCCCCAAACAAAAAGCCTCGAGATCCAGGCACTGCAGCCGGGCTCAGGCTCGGAGATGCGAGGCATCACAGCATCTTCCTTTCATCTGCATGGGGATGACAGACTTTAAAAGGCCAATTTATAAAAATGAAGGCTAGAGGAGAGACATCTGGCAGGTCTGAGGAGGCGGGGATTACTAACCCTGTGCCATGTATCCAGCCCCCCTCCCCGCCCGGAGCTGGTCCATGAGTCCCCCAGCCAGGGCCCAACAGCAGGGGCTGGGAGTGGGTGGGGTGGCTGAAGGCAGCCCCCCCGGGGCCACAAAGCCATCCCCGCCCAGGTTCATTGTTCACCTGGTTTCTACAGGAAGCAGGCTCCCAATTATCTGTGTAGATTTACCTTTAATCTGGATGCCTTCACTCCCCTCCATACCAACAGCTCTGCCCCACTTCTTGAAATAACTTATCATGCCACAGACAGCATCCCCGGGCAGAGCGGTGGAAGCGGAGACGAAAATAAGCTCAAGATGAAAATAAGCAGCAAACCTGCGATTGCTTTTTGGAGGGGAAGGGCCATCCACTGCCAGCCCGGCTTACCAAGGGCTGCAGGGTGCTCTGGGCACTTTGCTAAGGAGCCAGATCTTTTGAGAGGTGCCATCAGCCCACTCCAGAACTGGCTCAGGGGCCGCAGCCTCGAGTCCCTGGCCTGGGTGACACAAAACACACGGATATATAAAACGAGGTGGTTTGTTGTCATAGGGAAGCCACAGAGTGGAAACCACAGCATCAGGCTGGTGATGGGCTCCAAACCCACCTGCACGAGCCCCCCAACTCCTCCCAGGGCAGTGCTCTGCCTGCTGTTGCTGTCACTTGGGAAAGTGAGTAAAGGTTTAAAAAAAGAAGGAAAAAATAAGAATAAGGACTTTCTGGGGATAGGCCAAATGGAAACACAGGTTGGGATGGCAGGTGAGAGCCAGCCCCTGGCAGTGATGTTAGGACAGTTTCTCCCAACAAGGTGTGCTGAGGCATCCCCTGGTCCAGGGGTGTGCAAATAGAATGATCTGAAAGTCGACATAAAGCTACTGACCTCAAGAAGAAATGAAATTTAAACTGTCAGCAGAAGCGCAGGAGACCGTAAAAAAACAACTCCCCGGTGCAGCAGGAGTCAGGGAGCAACAACAAAGCCACTGGGATTTGCTGAACCAGAGGCGTGGGGAGGAACCAACATCTAATGAGGTGTTAATAACCCGAATGCGCAACACCGGTCATGGGATGGGCAGCACAGCCAGCCCAGCACTGGCTCTGATGGCTTTATTTAAGGAAACATCCCTAATAAAGAGATGTTTCCCTTCCGGCCAGCGCGGCCAGGCTGGGACAAAGTGATCCTCAGTGGGCAAAAATACTGTCTGGTGGAGGTTGTGGGTGGCAAAGTCTGAGTGCCTCCATCCCTGCCTGCATCCCTCCACCTCCACCTGTGTGGGAGAGCTCCCGGGGCAAAGCCAGGAACGATGAGGGAGGAGGAAGGAAAAGCCTGCATGGGAGAGCGTGCAGCAAAGCCCTGGCTCCTTGGGAAGGTGGTCCCCAGCCCTGGTCCAGAAAGCTGCTTGGCTTCCAGGAAGATCGGTTTCCAGGAAGATCGGTTTCCAGCAAGATCGATGCCACTCAAAGCCCCAGCTGGTGATCCTGATCCCTCGGGAATGACATGAGGAAACCCAGGCACCTGCTCCCCCAAGAAAAGCGCCTGACCTAAGCGTGCCATGCCAGAGGAGATCCCCGAGTCACGAGCAGGGCGGAGAGCAAGGCGATACGTCCCGGCCCCCCCCCAGTGCGAGGTGATCCTGGCAGGCAGGCAGCTCCCGACACACAGGCAGCCCCTCTGGCAGCTCAGGAGGGAGCCTGGAGCCTGCCTGCCCAGCTCCAAGGCACTGCCTGCCCCAGGCACACGGGAAAACAGCTACAACCGGGATGGGGACTGCCCTTAGGGGACAGTGGGGCAGAGTGAGCATCATGCAGAGCTGGTGGCAGGAGAGAAGCAAGGGCATCATCCCAACGGGATGAGGGATGCATCGGCCACAGAGACGATGCCCACCCATTCCACAGCAGACCTGAACCACGCAAAGACCAAGCAACCTCCTCCCAGGGTGTTCCTTTGCCACCTGGAGGACCCTCCCCAGCCCCTCAAGACCCATCAGAGCTTTAAGGGCATGCTGAGGCTGAGCTGAGGAAGAAAAAGCCATAGGGCAGCAGAAGTTACCTGCCCTCGTGCATTTCACATCCTCCCAGACCTCTGACCATCCCCACCACAGCCCTGGAGTGGGAAAAGCTGATTTCCCTCCGTACTCCCCATTGCTCCAAGGACTATTTATACTATTTTGGTCATAAATCAGACTGGTTGCCTGAATCAGATAGAAATGGAAACAATCTTTGTTCCTCTCATTTACTGTCCATGCCACTGAAATATTAATCAAACAGCATTTCAGCCTCAAATTTTACGGTCAAACCACCTGCCTTGAACCAATCTCTCAGTAAGTGCATGCTTTGACTCCCTGCTCTCCAGATGCACTTCAAGGTCCACCTGACACTTCCACCCTAGAAAATATTTTTCTGGAGTGAAAAGGTTTCAGGGCTTTTTCTGCTTCCCAATGAGGGATCTCTCTGGTTGCAGCATCAGCGAAACCAGCCATCAAAAAAGATGTCCTAAAGCACCCAGGAGTGCTGGATGGCCAGGACAGGGTTTTGGGGTGCAGGTGCTGAAGGGACATCTTCCAAAGAGAAAACAGGCAAGAAACGACCCTTTTTCCTGCTCTTGCACATGTGGTGGTCTCCCCACAGTGCTGTGTGACATCCCCCAGTTCTGCATCCCGATGTCACCCCCAATGCTCCTGCCAATAAGCAAACGGGCCCATGACAGTTCCTCCAGTAAAACCTGAGATTTTCTCCATTTCCCGCTATTCTGACCATATCACAGGGTTGTTCCTATCCCTCCCCTCCAAAATCACTCCCCCACCCCAGTGTACGTTATAACTCCTATGCTGACAGCTGCTGGAAAATGAAGACGAGTTAATAGATAAGATCCAATGGATCTTATAAGATAATCTCTTCCCTGAGTAATTCCATCCAGCTTGCAGGGAACCACACTGCCAGCCCATCCACGGGGCTGGAGCATCACCCAAGCCACTCAGCCCACGGGGTACACTGGTGTGGGACCCAAGGGACACGTCAGCCGTGGGGAAGGGGTCCCTGGGGCGCAGTGACATGATGCCGAGCAAAACTTTGGTACAGCTGGGCATCATGGATGAAGCTTGGGCCTTGGAGGCAGCAGTGTCTGGGAATAAAGCAAAGGCCTCCCCTCGATGCCCTGAAAGAAAAGATATTTAAAAAAAATAAAACCAGAGGTTTAGGTAAAAGAGTCAGAGGCTGTTGTCCATCCCCTCTCACTTGGATGCCACCTCACGTGCCTATCTCTGGCTGGAGAGACTTCCCACAGAAAACTAACCAGTCCAAAGTCTATTTTTAACTACCACAATAGCAGAGCCTCCCCCGAGGAGTGGCCGAAGCCCTGTCCCCAACCAAGCAATCTCACATTTCCCTTGCTAAGCCTCGATTTCCTTCCACCCCTCAGCCCGCAACAAAACCCTCCTCCTCCTCTTCTCGCCTTCCCATCCTTGGAAAATTATTTGCACATCCACCCACCTCCAGGCTGTGGGTGCACAGTGTCCTGCACACCTGTTACACATTAACCACTGACCTGGTACCTGGGGGCAGACCCTTCCTGGACTCAGAAATGCCAAACAACGGGATATTTATCTGCCCACTCTCCCCGCTGGATGCACCTGAAACTCAGGGGATTCAAAGAAAAAGTCCCACAGCATCAACCCAACTACACTTCACAAAGCAAAGGCAAACTCTTTAAAGGGATTCCTCTTGCCCTGTGGACCGTTATGTCGTGGGTGTTTTTTGGGGAGAGAGCTGTGTGGGTCAGTGGTGCAGCACGCCCAGGAAAGCACATCCTGATGGATACAGCACCACCATCACTGGGGATCTCCCACTGTTATGGCAGAGAACCCCCTAAGATTGTTTTTCAATTAAGGCACATAATAAACACGAGATAAAGTTACGCAGTTCTGTAGGAAATTTCCTTATTATGTTTTTGTGCGTTGCAGATCTAATTCCCCACACGCATCACTGTCTCATACCCGCCTGCAAACAGCCTTAAACTGCTGCCTAATGGTATCTGAGCTTGGGAAATTCAATTCTTCCCAGCACCTCACCCAGGACTGCTACAATCACTGCTAATTGCTTAAGTGGTGTATTAAGCAAAATAAAAATTCCAGTGGGCTTTGAACCCCCCCCTCAACCAGATGATGCCAAAACACCCCGTTATGGCTGCCAACCCTGGCTGGAGATCCAACCTCAAATATCCCTTCTCCTTTTGCTGTGCAGGGATGCTCCTGGGCAGGCAGAGCTTCGTACCCATCATGGCCACAACCACGCCAGAGGGACTCACAGGCTGTGTACAGTTTCTCCACCATCCCTTTTTCCAGGGTTCTGCAATGCCATCGCTGCCCATCTCCTGCCCCAGGGTCTTGGACTGACAAATGCCACCAGGACCCACTGGAGCAGGGCATAAACCAGCTCCCATCATCCTGAGGCACACTGGGTCCCATTCCTGTCCCCCCAGTTCCAAAGCACGGCATGACCTGTGTGACTTGAGTCTCTTCCCAGACCCAGACCCTGCACCAGCAGTGCGGGCACTCCCCCAGCAAGGGGATTCTCCAAGACCTCACTTTCTTTTTAACAAAAATCAGGTATGGGCTGCAGTCTTCCCTTCAGGGATGGCCTCTCCTCCTCTCCGCTGCAACGGAGCCAGCTGGGATTCAAGTCCATAATTCCCAGGAGCGCACCACGTGCTCCCCGCGGTCCCCAGCTTCTCTTTGCCAGCCTCCACGGGGAAGTGGAGCACCGAGCCAGGCACCAGTCTCCAACCCTTATCCCACCACCTCACTGGCATCCCTGGGCAGGGAAAGCAGCCGAGGTCAGGCGAGGGCACCCAGGGGCGGGTGCGCCGGGAGGGCAGCGCTGCCAGGAGCGGCTCCGCTGGCCTGGGGCTGGGAGCACTGCCCCGGGGCACCCCGGCCAGCCTGAGTCAGCAGGGCCAGCAGATGTGCAACCATCATCTGGTTTCTGGGGAGAGGAAGAAGAGGAGGAGGAGGAAGAGGAAAGGCATAAGCCAGCAACATCCTCATCTCGAAGAGACGGGTGATTTCCCTCCAAGGAGGAAGGACAAGACCACCCAGCCACGAGGGTGTATGAGATGTGCTCACAGTCCAGGAGAAGAGGGAACAGACCTGATGGCCCAGCCAAAAGAGGCAGTCCTGCAGTCAAGCAGTCAAGCAGCCACTGCAGCTCTGAGCCAACTGAGGGTCTCACACTTGAGGAAGGTGGTGGTTTTAACCCCAAAGCTTTACCCAGAGCAGGACAGGGGAGCTCCATCCTGCAGCCCCCAGGGCTGACTCATCCCCTTCTATGGCACAGAGGAATGGTCTCCTTGTGCTGGGTGAGAAACCAGATAGGGCAGGCAATCCCATGCCCTTCCCAAGCACATGTCAACAGGCTGGAGCATCTCCACGAGAATTATCCAACTTTTTTAGAAACCAGTTATTCAGGAGTGGCCCTGGACTGCACTGCAGCATCACAATGATGGTGAGACACTAAGAAACACCACTGAAGGACACAGAGGGAAGGACACAGAGGGAAGGAAGAGCACTTGCTATCCCATCTAAGCAGATCCCCTGGCAGCACACACCCACCTGTCTATACAAACACGACGGCCAAGGGCCTCAGGGAAAGGGGGCTGAGAATTTTGGAAGAGCCTGTGGGGTTTAGGAGCATGATCCCTATTTAGAAAGGCATCCCCAGATGCCTTTCTAAAAATCCCTGTGGAGGGGAGTTCTGACTAATCACAGAATTGTTTAGGTTGGAAGAGACATCCAAGATCATCGAGTCCAACCGTTCCTCCAGCACTGCCAAGGCCACCACTAAATCATGTCCCCAAGTGCCACATCTACATGTCTGTTAAATCCCTCCAGCGATGCTGATTCCACCATTGCCCTGGACAGGCTGTTCCAGTGTCTGACAACTCTATCAGTGAAGACGTTTCCCTTAATATCCAATATCCCCTTAATATCTGTGCCCTGGCAGAGCTTGAGGCCTGGGAGAAGAGACCAACCCCACCTGGCTCCACTCTGCTGTCAGGGGGTTGTAGAGGGTGAGCAGGTCCCCCCCTTGAGCCTCCTTTTCACCAGGCTGAGCCCCCCCCCCAGCTTCCTCAGCTGCTTCTCATCCACTCAAAGACAAATCAGCAGGGCCTCCTGGGGATTTTGGGCAGAGTGCTGCATGGACAGAGATGTTTTACCTCCTCTCCCGTTCCAGTTCACAGGGTCCCCAAAGTGCCAGCAGTGTGGCTCTTCCAGGTCAAATGCATAACTTCAACTCATCGATTTCCACACTGGAATGAGGGACCAGAGCGACTCAGAGGGACCTGGAAGGCAAAGGTTTAGGCTGTCAGGCCCTGGAGTGAAAGCAGCATCAGGCACATCTCACCCCTGAGCAACAGTCTGTTGGGCTCCAGCCTGACTACACCAAAACCAGAAATAAGCAGAAGGGCCAGGGAGAAAGTCCCTCGGCTTGCCAAGGGCCTTCCCGTGGTGCTGCCCAGGCTCAGCAAAGCGGGGCTGGAGGAAGCTCGGGAGCCGAAGGAGCCCCACGGGAGTCCCCAGGGCCCCACGGGGACAGGAGGCACCGGCCGCTGGAGGATTCGGGTGGACCAGGTGGGGACCTCCCCCAGAGCTGCCTGCAAGCCTCACGCAAACCCAGGCAGACAATAACGATCGAAAATCACTGAGCATCCACGCGGGGGGCTGCGCGCTGCCTGCGCCCCCAGCTCTGGGGCTGCCGCCCCCCAGAGCTGCCCCTCATTCCCCCGGGGCAGCCCCCACGGCCGGGGGAGCCCATCCTCGCGGTGCAGACCCCCATCCCCGGGGCAGAACCCCTTCTCCTGGGGCAGCCCCATCACCGGGGAGCCCAACCCCCTTGGCGCAGCCCTGCATTCCCGGAGCAGCCTCCCCCTCTCCCGGGGCAGTCCCTCCTCTCCCTGTGCAGCCCCCATCCCTGGGGCAGCTCCCCATCCCCGGGCGCACCGGGCCGAGCCGGGCACCGCCGGGTCTGCCCCATCACCGCCCCCCGCCCTCCCTCCCGCCCGCGCCGGGCCCGATGCTCACCGGGAGGGGAGGAATGACCCAGCCGCGGCGAGGTGAGAGCGGCGGCAGCCCCCGGCCCGGCGGCGGCGAGGGGAGGGGGCGGCTCGGTGACCCTCCCGGCTCCAACCGCGCCGCAGCGGCGGGGGAAGGGGGGGGGAGGGGGGGGGACGCGGGACCCTCCCCCGAGTGGGGGGGGTCCGCTCCTGAACGGAGGCGGGGGGAATAACCGGGAAAACAAGAGCCCTCCTCCCTCCTCCGCCTCTCCGCCCCCGCCCCCCGGCGCCGGTACCGGAGGATGCGCTCACCCAGCCCCGCTCGCTGCTCCGGCGCAGCTCAGCTCGGCTCGGCTCAGCTCGGCTCGGCTCTGCCCGGCCCGGCCGCCCCCCGCCCCGCCGGCAGCGCCGCCCCCCGCACCGCCCACCCCGCCCCCGCCGCCTTAAAGGGCCCCGCCCGCTCCCGCCGCCCCCCCGCGATCCGCAGCGCACCGCGCTGGGGGACCCCCGGGGGCGGCGTGGGCACCCACCCCCACCCACCACGTGGGCTGCGATGGGGGCCGTGCCAGCCGGGGCGCCCCAAATGTCGGTGGCGACGCAAACGCTCGGATACCTCCCCCAAATCCTCGCACGGGCACCCCAAGTCCTCGGGTGGTGCCCCAAATCCCAAGGGGAACTCCAGATCTTCAAAGTGGGTCCTAAATCCTCGGACAGGCACCCAAATCCCCCCGGGACACCTGAAATCCTTGGGCACCACCCCAAATGCTTGGGGGAAGCTTCAAATCCCCAGATCATCGAACCTTCAGGGGGCACCCCAAGGCTCGCAAATCCTGGCAGGGCATCCCCGTGCCTTGAGAAGGGGGTGCAGCCTTTTCTCACCCCATCTACCAGCCCAATACTCATCGTTAGGCTGCACAGGAGAGAGGATTTGGGGTGACCCCCCCACGCTCCCACATTCCCAAGGGTCACAAGGCAGTGCAGTGTGACTGGAGTGGGCTCCAGGGGGATGTTTGGGGTCCAGCCCCAAAGCCCACCTTTCCTGTCCTGCTGGATTTTGGGGGCTCAACTCTGAACACCTTCCCCTGCCAGAGGATTCAGGACAGAGAGAACCCCAGGACAGGGGAGCTGAACCCCAGAGAGGTTTAAGGGATGTAGTGAGGGGTTACACAGCCTCCCAGATCCTGCACAGCCCAGCCTTCCCATAGCGTGTCCACGGGTGGATAAGGATGAGTCACCAAAAAAAAGAAAAACAAGGAAAAAGAAAAAAAAAGGATTTGCAGAAGGAACAAATCCTTTTTACTTCTGCAAAGCACCTGTAGGATTAAGACAATGCTGGTTATGTAAGGGGTGGAGAGGGGGGGTGGATTTTTGTCATTATTATTATTTGTTTATTATGCTTCCTTGCCATCCCCTTACTCTGCCAGGTGTAATCTGGGGAGATTTGGGGAGAGCTCAGAGGGGGTGGGAAGGAGGGAGGTTGATTGTAGGGCTGGTGCACAGTGATTCCCCGTTTGCCTTTTCTTCCCCCAAAGCAGCATCTTCCAAAACCAGGGTTTTTTTGGCTATGTTTTTGGCAGCAGTGGGAAACATGGGCCGAGGGAGGGCATTGCCAAAGAGGCACAACCAGGGCACAGACTCTCGCCTTCTCTCCATCATGACTGTTTTTGTGATGATTTTGGGTGGATGCCCACCTCTGCTTCTGGCTGGTTACTCTTTCAAGCCCAGGATGGGGGCTTGAAATGGCAGGGGGATTAAAATGAGATGATCTTTAAGGTCTCTTCCAACCCAAACCATTAAATGTTTCCCTTCCCGGGGGTGTTCTGGGGATGAATTGATGGTCACAGAGGGGCTGGATCCCACTGCTCAGTGCAGGTGACCCTGGATCACCCACCTCCCACGGCGGCTGACAATGTGTTTCCACTCCCCCGCCTCTCCCCGGCCTCTGCTCCAAAAAGCCTCTCTCCCATTCATATACATTTTTAAAGAAAACACACAATCAATAGTCTCTTAGGCTGGAATTTCATTAAGGGTTTCGTTGCACTGGCTATCGATTGGCAGCAGGGCTGGGAGCTGCACGGAGTGTGTCCGGCGTTCCCGGCTGATGCCGTGCCCAGTCCATGCCACGGGACCACCCAGCCCACCCTCCAAGGAAAAAGGCCAGGCAGAGGATCCGGCTGCTCCCATACAAGCAGCAGAAAACCCAGCATCCCAGCTTTTCCTAAACTCCCAGATTTTACTAAACAAAACATACCAGGAGCCCAGGGAAGGGCTGGGATGCTGGGATTCCTTCCACGAAGCAGGATAAATGCTTTGTGACTGCAAAGGCTTTGGTTCATAACAGGCTCTCTCCTGCCCTTCCTCCCTGGGATGCTGCTTGTTTCAGGATGTGTAAAACAAGGCTGGAAGGCCTGGCCTTGCTTTCATCAAGCACCGGGGCTGCAATTAAAAAACACCCCAGGGCTCCGAGTGTGGAAGGGCACAGTTTGCTCTGCTGCTGGTTGGTCACTCGGAAAAAATCAAGGGAAAAATCCCAACCTTTAAAAGGGCTCGCGGGCTAATTTTAGGTCTGGGCCTTGACCGAGGAGATTTACAATAATTGCCGGGGTGAAAGTTTAACTTCTCCCGCGACTTTTCTCAGCAATCCCCAAGGAACCGTGTTCTACTGCGCAAAGAGCATCCCCGGGCCAGCTCCCCAAATTGCCTTTTTAAGGCTTGATTTTTAAGCCGAAGCCACAGGCTGCCTTCAGCGGGACAAAAACTCTTCACGAGCCCCGGTCTGCAGCCTGGGTGAGCTCCTGTGGACGGGGATGAGCTCCGGCTCAAATCCTGGCCCCCATTTTCTGGCCCCGCTCGTCCCTGTCCCATCCGGGAGGCGGAGCAGAGAGGCACCGCTCCCCCCGCGGACACCCCTGTCCCCATTCACCACTAACCCCCTTTCAACAGAAACCACGACGCGAGCAAAGCAGAACACACTGCTTGTAGAACCACGGCCTTTCCGCTGTGCTAAATGATTTAAAACTGGTGGTGAATAAACCTAATATCTGCTCGCTCCTGCCAATTCTCATTACTCCGGGACTCCCTCGGAGCTATTAGCTGCCTTAAAAAAAAAAAAAAAAAAAATTAAAAAAATCGCTGGAAGGAGTCATTCGAGTGGCTCAGCCAGTGCTGGGGAGGGTTGCTGGCAGCCGCCCGGCTGGAGCGTGACGTGCCCTTGAAATCCTGTGCCCGGAGGCATCCGGCATCCGAGCGGTGCCAGCTCCGGCAGCGCCCTCCGCCACCCGCGCCTCCCGGCAGAGCCGGTTATTTTTGATTTCATCGCCTCCAACCTCGCCGGGTCCCGGGGCAGGCGGGGGGTTATCCGGGGAGCGCAGACCGCGATGCTCTTGCTGATTTTCATGCAAAATTCTAATGCTGCGGGTTTGCAAAGCCACGGTGAGGAGAGGGGAGCGTGTTAGGGGGAGGAAAGCAGGGAGGTGAAGGGGTTTGTCCATCATCCGAGGAAAAACCTGGAAAGGAAGTTAGGAGACAGCCATGGCCGGGGCAGCCCAGCCATGAAACCATTCGGTGGCGCAGGCACAGCAAAGTCCGGGTGCGTATGTGAGCTGTCAGCCAGGCAGACAGGCCCCAGGCATCTCCAGGGCTGTCACAGCTGCAAATTGTCCAGGAGCAGCCTCTAATGAGATGTAAGGGAAGGATTTACTGGAGGAAGATGTCACAGGGATGAAAGGGGAAAAGGGAAGGAACCAGGAGAAATAGTGGTTTGGGTTTGTATTTATTTGTGCAGGAGAAATTGCTTTAAAATGTCCTTTGGTGTGTTGGAGGGGGCAAACAGGCAGTGACAGCCCGGCCTTGGGGCTGGAGGAGCCTTCTCTGATGGGAAGACCTTGATGTGCAAATTCCCTTCTCCTCCTCCTCACACCGGGACTCAGGACTTACCTTTGAGAAGGAGCAAAGCCCTTTCAGCACAAAGACCCAGGCTAAAATTTCCTCTGTAACCTGAGCTTTTCCTTCCCGAGGGTGTCTGTGCAGCCGTGGTTGAGTGATGCTCTCCCAGGATGACCTCAAAGATGGACAAGCCCAAATTCAGACCAGAGCAAAGCCAGACCAGCTGAAATTCCCCGGGGAGAGGATGTACAAACAGGAAGATATACAAACAGGAGGATATACAAACAGGAGGATATACAAACAGGAGCATACACAAACAGAAAGGTATACAAAAACAGGACCAAGCCCCATCCTCGTCTTCCCGTGGGATAACTGATGGAGTTTGGATGGAGCTGGAGAGCACCAGCTGAGCACAGGAGCCATGCCAGAGAGTGGTCAGCCAGCTCTCAGCATCAACAGTTCATCCCACATCCTTCTTGTCTGCACACAGCCTGTCCCTCACCACATCATGGCCCCTCTGCACTTCAAACATCTGTTCAGGGTTGTGTTCAGTGGCCTCTCAGTGTCTGACCCAGATGGAAAGGAATAATATTTGGGCGTGATGAGTGGGGAGAGAGTGCAATCTTCTGATCACACTGTCCGGTGGAGAAGGGGTTCAGGGCTCAATCCTTCTGCATCCCAAATGGTTCTGGGAACAGAATTAGGAGCAAAAAGGGGGTGTCCAGCTCTGTATCAGCAGACACAATTCATGATTTCCCCTCTTAAAGTGTTGTGTTCTGCCTGGTCTTAATGCCTCCAAGAAGTATTTCCTGCTGCATCCTGCTGGGATGGAGCTCACCGAGCCCCTGGGGACACCCCGCCCCGCCCCAGCAGGAGCTATTTGTGCTTGCTCTGAGTCTCCAGGGAGTACATTTGAATAGAAACAGGCGCATTGAGAAACACAACAACACCTATGAGGACACCTCCCTCCCCCGAGCCACCGCGGGGAAGCCACCGGAGCCTGGCGCTGGTGGTGCTGCTGCTCTTCTTCCTCTTGCTGATGCAAATGAAAAGCGATGCTGCTCCTTGCGCTCCAACCCCCCTCGGCGCCCGCTGGCAGAGCACAGGTGGGGAGCTCGCCAAGCGTGGAAGTGCTGTGAGCAGGGGCAGAGCCCCGTGTCGGGAGGGGGGGACAGACCAGTCCTTGTGCTGTCTTCGCGCATGGGACCACA